AATTCCCTGCTTTTCCTTCCTGGAAGGAAATGATGGTACCAGTGCAAAGAATGAAGGAGGAGACAGCTTTGGTTTTTCTTTGCAGTCTGTTGGCACATCCCATGGATTACAATGTCCTGGAGGCATCTGGGATCTCACAAATCCAAAGACTGGCATCAAGGCCAAACAGTGTTGCATCAGCAGGACCAGAAATCTCACTGAGCAGTGCAGGGATGCTGAGTCAAGGGGTGTCAGTGCCATGGGCTGATCCATCCTGAGTCATCCTGACAACAGCAGGAATTGCTGCAGCTTGGAGTTCAGAACAATCCATCAGACAGCCAAGGACTCACTTGTGATGTTCAGATTTTGATCCAGCTCTTTAGTGCTTGGGGAGATAAAGTTCTGGCTCCACTCCACCCTCCTGTCCTTCCGTGGGCTGTTAAGTCCTGTTACTCTTTCATCCTGACGGGTGTCAGGAGGGTGGATGTTACTTGTTTCAGAAGGTTTGGGGAAAGGGAGGAAAGTAATTCTGTCCATCCCAGTGTTTCAACAGACAAGATTAGGAGGCCCATTACCTTGATCCCCCCGTTGGTGATTCTCACCCCCTTCCCCCTGCTCTCCTTGCCTTACCCCTGCTTGTCTTTGTGGCTCTGCTCTGTGCTGAGATGCCTTGTGACATTCTGGCTTGGGGCATAAACAGTGGAAGGCTGGATTTGAAAAATATACATGAATAAAAGGTCAAAACTCTCCGAAGAAATAATAAATTTCTTGGTTGTCTCTTTTTGTGTTGTTGGGGGTTTTTTGGATTTTTTTTTTGAGTTTTGTTTTTTATTTTTTTATTGCATAGTTATGAAAAGCAAATTAGCCTTTGGGATTTTGAGGAATTCACTGTGACAACGGTCCAGGTTAAAAATAAACAGCTGCTGCTCCAAGAAGAGTGGCCAGAGATGCTGGGTTTATTCTGCTGGGCCTGAGGATCACTGTGTGTTAGTCCTGGCTTTAAAAAGTCATGCTGATATTGCTCATCCTGGAAGGGCAGAAGGCACAAGCTCACACGTGGCAGTTGCAGGGCTACTTTTTTTTTTTAGTTCAGTGGCAAAACAAGGACTTCATTATGCTCCCAGACTGTTTGATCCTACCTGCTGTCAGGCTTGAGCTTTTCTTTAACAATGCTACAGGGGAAGAAAGGAAGACGAGAGAAAAAAGCTAGAAATTGCAAAGTTTTCACTGTAACAACTATGAACAGAAACAGTTGTGGGAAAAGGAGAAACACTCATCATGTGTGACTCAGACAGGGAACAGAGGACTATTGCTGGATGCCTGGTGCTCTTGCCCCCACATGACCTCAGAGAAACAAAATTCCCGCTTCATTTGCAAAGGAGAAGACTATTCTGAGGTTTTAAAAAACTTTCTATAATGATTTTAGAAATTTGATTTGATTTTGGAGACTTGCCCTTCCAGAGGATTTTGGTAAGAATGTGACTCGGAGAAACGCAGGGAAATGGGCAGTTCACAATGATTAGCTAATGTCTAATGTCACTATTTAGGTGTGATAAACCATGGTAAGAGAGCACACTGAGCACTGTTGGTGATCTGGCAAGTGAGGCAGAGTAGCATCAATAAGAAACAAAAGGCAGAATGGTGTCTGTGATGCCATAAGATAAAATTGCCTCTGAGTTTTCTTAGAAAAGCCAACTTAGGCTTGTTTTTACACCAGAATAATGCCATTTGTTTTGTTTCACTTTTGGATGTGAGGGCAGTGTTGCCACATCTTTTGTTTTGATGCAGACAAAAAATCATTAGCTATTAGCAGACCTTTCATCATTCCCAGAGCTGAGCCGAGGCTCCAGGTGAGTCCCTGCCCCCCTCACTAACTGGGCACTGAGATTTGGAAAGGGCAACCTGGGTGGGGATTTCACTGCACGGGCAAACAGGAGGGTGAGACAACGAGTCAGACTTGGCTGTTGGATATCTCAGGCTGGAAGGGACACCAAGAGGTCTGCAGCCAAGCCTCCTGCACAGAGCAGGGGCTGGGGCTCTGGGCAGCCTGAGGTCAGTCCCAGCATTGAGGGTTTAGTCCTTCCCGAGGGCAGGTTTTGTCCTTGCTGAATTTCATAAGGTTCCTGATGTCACTTAATATTTGAAAGAGGTTTTTTCCCTTTGTTTGGATGGGTCAGATCCTCCTCAGAGTGAAATCACTGAACTGAGCAAACCACCTGTGCAGCTGCAGTTTGCCCTGGAAGGTATGTGAGAGAGAGACTTAATCCTGTAGTATCCTTACCATGGATTTAGACAAGAGTAGCCATCTATTCCTACCCTTTATAGGACAGGTAAAACCACACTTTGATCACCTGCATTAAAGGAAGACAAACAGCTGTGTTTACCTGCGTTGGGTTACTTGCATTACCTTTTTTCCACAGCACGTTGTAAGTTCTCATTTCAACTAAAGCTCCTCATGGGTGCCCCCAGGCCAGGGAGGGACTGACAGCACAACTCCCCCTCTTCATCTCCTCTGTGCTCAACACACACTCTGGAGAAAGATCTCGGCACCCCCATGGTGAACAGCTTAAACCTCAGAGGGGTATTTCTGCTGTCCTGGGTGTTATCACATGTGAAGAAGTGGATTCAGACCCAGGGTCTGGTGTAGGTCACGTCCTCAGACCAAGTATCAGGAGAGGCAAACACAGAGGAGGAATGTGGGAGGTTCTCTAATTTGTTTCATCACATTTGGTATTTGCTATTAAGACAACTTGCATTTTGAAATACCCTTCAGTCCTGTTACTTTGGGAGCACCAGCCCTGTCTCAAAGGCTCCTTAAGGAAATATGGACCAGGAGTATTCAGAACTCACGTTCCTCTGCCCTTGGGGTTGGTGCAGACATGGAGTGAGAACTCCCTGAGTGCAGTGAGGAAAGGAGCAGACTGGTCTCACTTTGTGCATCAGTGCACATGGAGGGAGGTGAAGTGAATCCCCACAGCTGTGATTCCCTGTGTTCTGGCTCCTGAGTCCCTGCAGAAGTTGGAACAGAGCAGTTTCTCCTCTCCAACTTTCAATGCCTTGAACCCACCAGGTTGTGACAACAACTGGGCTCACCAGAACTGATAAAATAAGGGTTGGATTTACAGCCCTAGTAGGGCTTCATGTGCTCCCCATGCAGAGCCAGATCATCCCAGTGCACTCAGAGGGGGACACTGTGTGTGCTACTGCAACCAGCTGGAATTCCAGCCTTGGAATGTGTGCTGAGATCCCCGGAAAGCTGAGTGTAGGTTCTGAGCTGAAATTATTATCTGCTGCTCGTGGCCTCACTGCGTACAAAGCACTGAAAAGTGCTTTCCACTCCTTCCAAGCATTTGCACTTTATAAATCCTCATAAGTCTGATTATGGGAGGAAGGAATGAGGACCTGACTGGAAATTAGCTGGATTCCCCTCTCACCTTTCTAATGTCACCACCACCAAATCTGCTTATCTCACTCCTAAATCTTTCTCTTGCCAGTCCCTATTTTCTCCTGGGATTTTTATCACCCAAACCACCAGGTTTCAATACTTTATACTGAGATTTTCTGATCTTGTCTCTCTACGTGCTGCAGCTGTAAAAGCAAAAACCTTTTACACCACACACAGCAAAAGTTACACACCCTGCCCAAGACCTAAGAGCAAACCTCACATTTCTGGATTCCCAGTGCTGGACTTTTTCCCCCCAAATTCTTTTCCATGCCATACCATAGCAGCCTACCTTCCACAAGTGTAACTCGAGTGATTAATAATTCACATTTTGTGCTAAAAGCAAATCAGAGTTAATTTTGTATATTTTGTTTCCTCTCTTTAATACATTAGTTTGCCCAGAAAGGCAGCTCTGCATTCGGAGCTCGCAGTGACTCATGCCTTACATAAGGAACTAAAACATTTCATGGTTTACAGAGAAGAATGTTCTTGCTCATTATGGGGATGAAAGGAGATTGCTGCATTGCAAATGACATGTATAATTTAGACACTTATTTCTAGGACTATTTGGAACAGGGAATGAAGAGAAACTAAAATGTTTGAAGTGACTTGAGTGTTCCACAGTTTTTAATGTGACTAACAAAATACACAGCCTGGTAACTTTTAGGACTGTTAATGGAAGAATGGCTCTGAAACTCCAACACTTTTTTTTTTTTCTAATAACAGTATTTATTTTAAGCCACAAGTAGAAACTGGTATTTATCAGTCTGGAAAAATCTGTAAAGATCTCATATTCTTTTCTGCTGGTTGTTACCGACTGTGCCACCAAAGTGGGAAAGGGAATGGGAAATAGGGTTCTAGAAAGACCAGGCAGCTGGGGAGGGAGTGGCAGCAGGTCTGCTGCTCTTGGACTGGGGGGGGAGATTTTTTCCTTCTTGGCATTCTAAATATTAAACCTTCACTACAAAAGGAGAGCACGGAATATTCTGTATTCCAGCAGTGCAGAGTTTCTTCAAACAGGAATTTAATAACATCACCGTGGCTGTGCACTGGGAAATGTTTATTTAATTGTGTTCTTTTTAGAATATTATGGGTAGAGAAATCCAACACGATTTCTGGAGTTTTGAGTGTGAACAACACCCAAATGCCCCCATGTTGTGCAGATTATCTGCACAGACTGATGTACTGACATGCCTTGGTGCCTGTGGGTCATCTTTAGAATGCAGGATTCTGATTCTATTTTGTCTCTGAGCCCCATTTATTTCTTTATTTTAACAGTAACAGGTCAGCAGTGCCTGTGTTTCCTGGACTGTTCTTGGCAGCAGCTGCATTGGTGTTTTTCTCCAGCAAATTCCCACCATTTCCTGAGGTCTGTGAGTCTCCCACACAAGTGCAGTGGGCAGTTCCCTCTGAGCAGTGACAGTGTGCCAAGGTCTGTCCTAACTCAGGAACCTCTGTAGAAATGGGTAGGAAATTTATGCCTTGTAAAAACCTCTCAAAACTGTTGCATTATTTATTTTTATTCTGCTTCAAGGACAATGCTCTTCAAACCAAGAGATGACACAAAGGAGCCCTGGGCTGTATAAATATAGAATCCTTTTTATTTTTTTGGTTAATAGATACAGTACAATTTTGACTACATAAGAAAGCGTTGTTTTCAGTGCATACATTCTTCAGACAGACAGGAACATGGCAGACAAACATTCCTTGTGGTTGGAGGATTACATGGCACTTGGTTTATTCCTGTAAGTCCCAAGTTACTGGCTTTTCCCAGTTTTCTTTAGCTGCTTTGACAACTCAAGGTCTAAGGAGAAATGAATTGAGTAATAAGGATGTGCCAGCTCTGGTGGCACAGGAGGATTAGGCAGGAGAACAGGGCACTGCTCAGCTGATCCCACACTGGTCTTCCTGCAACCACGGCCCTCGTGGCATCACATCATATCCCAGATGACCCAACTCAGCAAGATTTCTGTCTTATTTTAACATAATATGGAAAGAATAAATGCCAAACAAACCAACCAGTGCTTGGGCCAACCCCTGTACAGAGACTGACTCTGAGGGCCAAAGCCCAAACTCCTCCTGCACTTCCCTTGTGCGAGGTGGTGCTGGTGTCACAACTGCTGGGTTTTGTGATGTGGTGCAAACCCAGGACAGTGGATCCCAGGGTTTGGCCATTACACTTGCAGGGAGAGACAAAAGAATTATTGCTCCTTTCTGAGTTTTCCATTCACTGTATGGTAAGAAAAAAAATCCCAGGCTGATCCCTGGGTACGACCCTGATCCCAGGTAACTCCTGCATTCAGGAGAACCCAACAGTGCTTTACCCTGTTCTGCAGCTATTTGGGGGTGCTGTTTCCTGCAAACAGCTCCTGATGGGAGACAGGGACACGGTCCCCAGCCCACATCCCAGATCCAACTTGAAAATGAGACAGGACAGTGCTCCAGTGGAGGATCACTGGGGAGATCAGTCAGACCTTGACTGGCCAGCTCCAGGGTCCCACGGCCGCTGCCATCCCAGCAGGGTGTAAGGAGAGGAGTGCCTGGACACTCTGGGATACCCTTGGCCTTTGCCAGGCAGGGGACCAGGAGCAGGGCTGGTGTTGGTGGGACATCAAGCAGAGCAGTTTAGGCTTAAATGTGTTCACCTTCAGCTTTCAGTGGCTTCGTTCGAGACCATTACTCAGACTTTGGGTTTTTATCTGACCTTCCTTGATACTCTGAGCAGATACTGTGGGCCCACATCCTGGTTAGGACCCCCTTCCTATGAGGATGACTTGGAAGAACCTTAAGAAACCTCACTGTTTGAGGAAATGACTCAGAGAACAACCAGATTCACACAGTCACCGACCTTCATTTTGCTCCAGACACCAATATTGAAAAATCAGGGAAGGACACAAAGAGGCTTCCAGACAAACTAAGATAAACTAGTTTTCCTTGGCTATATATTGAAAAAAATTCAATGTGAAAAAAGCTTATTTTAGATTATCTAGATCAGCCTCTGCAAGCACAGAACACCCGGGAAAGAGCAGAGTGAAATGATCCCATAGCTGACCTCACTGCAAAGGCAGAGCAAAGCAACCCAGAGGGCCTGGGAGAGCACATCCCAAGGAACAGATGAAATAGAGAAAAGAGGGGACAGGAAAGCAAGCTGTTCCAAACCCCAGCCTGAACAATAACATGCAGCTGAAGGCACTTCTCCTTGGACACCCACATGGCAGGGGATTGTTGGAGAGAAGACAACACAGTTCTGGTGAGCTCTGAGCTCCTTTGCCCTCTTTCTCTGGGGTTCCAAGAGCACAAACCCAGGAGTGAGCACCACCAGAGGAAACCAAGGTCCATGTTACTGCAGATACACTGAGCTCTGCCAGCCCAGACAGGAGTGAGTGAGAATCCCTGAGAAGTCCAAAAATACAATAAACATCACATCAGTTAAACAACTTGCCCCTTCTGACCCTCTGGCCACTACACCACCCTTCAGTTAAAACTGAGGCACTGGAAACTCCTCACCTACAACAGGAGCTGCGTGGTGACACTTCCAGGAATGAGATAAACCTGCCAAATTCCTCCAGATCCCTGTTTCCTAACTGAAACTAAATAATGTGGAGAACAAATGAGAGGCAGAGACACCCCCAGCCAAGAGAACTGCTCTGAAATGGCACTGGTGGGGCACTGTAAACTGGAGCCTGGCCTGCAAGCGTTAGTGAAATGTTTAGTAACAATACTTAACTCTGTTATGTCTGGGTATCTCTTTGGACTAAAATGTTACACATTTTACCATATAAATGAATCACTATATTTGTTGCTAGTGGGTACACTATATACATCGTTGGAAGAAAAGAACAATAATTAAATTAAGGGAGGAGAGAAAAAGGACAAACAAAATATTAGTAAATAAAATAGAAGACATATGTTCAATAATACTTTTCAGGCAATACTTTTGCTTGTTACATTTACTATAATGAGGAAAAAAATCTTCCACTCAAAATAAACACTGGAAACAGCTGCCCAAGTTCAGTCCCTTCACTGCCAGGGCTCTTGGAGGGGGATGCAGATGTCAGTCCTGCTCCAGACGTGTTTGATCCTGCCACTGCAGAGGAGCCCACAGATCTGAGGGGCTGTCAGTGCAAGCAGGGTTTTAAAAGATTCTCTGCTCTGTGTCACCCCCTCCAGGTGATGCAGAAGGGCTGATGTGGTTCCTGAGAGCCACAAAGGACCTCCCCACGCTCCATGTGGGTCCAAACAAGCTCCTTGCTCCTCTGGGCTCAGCAAGGTCACCAGAAACCCCGACAGTTCCTCCGTCAGAGACTGGGAAGGTGACATAGTCCTCCCAGAAGTGCTTCCCATTCTTCATCAAAAACAGGCAGGTTTTGCTCTACATGTGCTTATTTTAAAGTTTGCAAGTGAAGGATTATAAACGTTGTGTTCTTACCCTGCAGTAACAAACACCTCACTGTGACGCCACCAACAGCACAGCCACACGAACTGGCTGTACCTCCTTTCCTTTTGTCTCATGAATAAATTATTTCCATAAGAAGTGGTTGATTACTTGATCAGAGCTGTAGATAATTAGTGTTCAATGAGAAACAGATCCAATGAGCTTTCTGGGGCTCATCAGATGAATTCCTTCCCAGTAGTTTCTTCACTTATACAACCAGCTCTACTTAATACACAGGTGCCAAAATACAAAGCAGTGCAAAATGACCCCAAAGCAAGTAGAGCCCACCCCACCTGGCAGGTGCACTGTGAGCAGGGGGCTCCTGGGGGACTGCAGGTGATTTCCTTACTGCACTGACTGCAAGCCAAGGAGAAGGAGCAGAGCAGCTCCCCAGAGCCCACCCTTCAGGTGCCTGAGCGTTCACAGTTAACGTGGGCTGGGCTTTGGAGACTTGTTTTCCCCTTTGCTGATACCTGAGGCTTGTTTGTGATTCCTTCAGCATATCCCATGTAACCACTCACCCAGCAAAGCTCCCTGGCTGCTGTGGGGGGTGTTCAGCTGTCTTTGCCAAGGTAACAGAATCGTTTTGCAGGGGTTGGATTTCCCCCCTCTACTTTGACTCCTGAAGAAAAAGTCTTTTTTGCTGAAGTCAAATCAAGGAAGAAAAGGGAAGGGTTGTGCAGACCTTGGAGGAAACTGCACAGGGAGCCATTTATAGCCCAGGTTTATAACTCAGGAGGTCACAGCCCTGACTGTCAATGAACATCTTTCTCATCCTTGCTTTTTCTTCTTGCAACCTGGAGACTTTTCCCTTCCTAAATTTTTAAGGTCAGCTCCGATTGTTACAGAGCAGGTGAAATGATAAGGATTAGCTGCTGGGTTTTGAAGGGGCTGTGAGCATGGACAGGGTGTACAGGGGAGCAGGGGGTGTGCAGGGGACCTGCCCACAGGCCGCTTTGGGGTCGGGGGAAACACGCTGTGAATTCCTCCCACGGGACAATTTGTGATCCTTTCAGTCCTGCTGCAATAGGATTACCATGAACCCAGGAAGGGCTCAGATGCAGAGGGCACTGAATATCATACCAGTGTTTACCTTGGCAAGGCAACCAGGGATAAATGTGTGGCACACAGACTTGCAGCTTAGCATGGGCTCGTATTCCCAGGATCAAACTGTTGGGCATTTGCCACAGAATCCAAAGGAAATGGTTTTTTTTAGCTTCTTTTTAGTAACCAGCCTGTGTGCAGAAAGGAAACAGAGAAATGGTGCTGCCCTGCTGGTGCCTCAAGGGGTGTGTTTGTGTGTGACTCTCGTGCTCTCAGTGAGTGTTTTGTGCACATTCACACAAACGTGCACGTGAGCTGGGAAATTCTGCTTAAGCTTAAGAAGGTTCATATTTAAGGCAGTGATTTGCCTTGCAATCACTACAGATGCATCTCCAGCAAGGCTCCCTATTGCATCTATGCTAAAAAACTGCTGTTTGAGCAAGGAGAAAGCCCAGGGAAGCAAATTTAAGCCCACTGTGTGCCCTGATGGCCCAAAAGACCAGCCTGCCTCCTGGTGCACGAGTACTACCAGCTTTCTCTGGGCCATACTGTTTTCAGGAGTGTATCCTGTGGGCAGTGGAAATTATTAAATTCAAATTGTAACAAAGGTATCTTGGATTTCAAAATATTTCAGAAATATTTACAGAAGGCAAGATCCCAAGTTAAGAACAGTGCTTCAATGTTGGCTTTTCTCCAAACCCAAAGCAATGGTGTGTTTGGCTGCTGTTTATAACTGATCCCTTCCATCCTTGGACTAAGCAATCCCCAGGCCAGTAGCTCAAACCCTGTGTTCACAACTACCTTGACGTGGCTCTCATGGAGTAAAAGGTGAAGGAAGGAACCTGTGGATCTGCAAATGCCAGTGAGCAGCCCCAGCCAGGAAGGAGTGGCAGAGTTGGGGGTTACAGCTCCTCCCTACAATTCTGATGGACAGAATGTTCATTTACTGCATATATGGCAATAGGCCTTTAGTTAACAGAGGAGATGCTCTTCAAATGTTTCTATTCACATCAGAACCATTGTCCTGTGAGATTTCCCTTCCATTCCATGCAGGCCTGGAGACACGAGAGGATGCAGCAGGGCTGGAGGTGCAGCCTGTGCCAGGGGTGGTTACACCGGGGGGGCCGAGTAGTGGATGACGGAGTTGTAGTCTGGGGGTGGGCTGTGGCACTCCAGGTTTGGATCCATGGGCAGCAGAACAGAGTCTTCCAGTGTGAAATCCATGGTGTCCTCTTCTACCTGCACTGCTGGCTGGTACTTGACAGCCTCATGGTCAGAGAGGATAGACTCCTTGCTCCTGCTGACAGCTCTCCTCCTGTGGGGAACAAACCACGGGATATATCCACCCTGTCTCATCAGCCTTGGTCTCTGTGTGCAGTTAATGGCCAAAATGCTTTTTTTAAAAGTAAATATATAAATCATCTCAACTCTCCTTTGCAGCACCCTGTAAGACAGTGACATCATACTCGTTGGATAAGGGAACTGAATTAGGTATTTTGAATAACTCAGTGTTTTAAAAGTAGCCTTAGGAGTAAATCCAGGAGCTGTGTCTCCCTGTCTTTTTATCTTACCACATTTCAGTTCTCTTAGTTATAAAGGCACCTGTCCTGTACATGCCACAATATTCTCTCTCATTGTTCTGACACAGGTCAGTAAAAATTTGACTTTTCTGAAAGCAGAACTGAAGGCTATGACTTTTCCTGAAGTATAATAAAGGATGAAATACTGAGTAATCTCTGACAGACTGTAATTTAAAATGATACTGAAAGGAAGGGTGCATGTTGAACACACTCTTGCAGTGCAGGGCTAAATCTCTCTTGCACTGCCCAGCCCTTCCCAGTCCCTGGTGAAGGGCAGCACTGTGCAGAGTTCCAGCTGCTCCTCTGGGGCTGCTGCTGGAGGGAGCAGCTTCCTCTCCTGCTGCCTTCCCTCATTACAGGGGATGGAGAGCAGCAACTTCCAGCACATGGAGCAACCTCAGTGCTAAAAGCAGGAGAAGCCTGGAGAGGATTTGTATCACAAGGTGCCCTTGAGGAACAACAAGTGTTGTGGGGAGGAAAACAGGTACTTTCTGTCACAGGCTGCCTTAAAAATAATGTTCTGCTAACCTTGGTTTTTTCCCTCTGAGCAATTCACTAGAAGAGGCCTGGATAACTTAGGGTTGGTTCTCAAAAGGATCCCGATATGAGAGTGGTTTTTAATCTTCTGCACTTTGCTCAGGACCCTTTAAGGTGCAGCTCTTTGGGATGAGCCTCAGTCACGGACCCATCACAGCATAAAGCTGCATTTTAATGACTGTAAACCAAACCTGAATAAGCAACAGTTCATCACAGAAGTGCAGAATTCAGTACACTTATTTTGCACGTTTGCATCTCCAGCTTTGTCTCTAAGAAGTGAATCCAGGAGCCCTGAGCTGTTGTAAGAGCCAGCCCACTGTGTCTTGCATGTCTAGGATGAATTTGGGTTCTGTGCAGTGCAAAGGCAGAGGTTACAGAGCAAAGCTGCTGTTCCTGTGCTTTCAGACCTACACAAGGCACTGAAACCAAACCTGTGGAGTGGCAAAGCAGAAATTCTAAAAGAAATAGGAACTCTGAGAAATCTGACAAAAATGCAGCACATTCTGCTTTCACAATCTAAGCTCTTCCTCTCTGTCAAGAGAAAAACCTGAGTGAAAACTTCTTATGTATCCCATACATTTGGCAGCTGCCCCTTCCTATACACACACAGCTTCTCTGCAGATAGATTCTTCCCTGGCCTGAGCACATGAACCACAACTTTGCTTCACTGTTTATTCCTGTAACTCTCTTTTTGTTGCTCAGTTCTACTGACTGGTGTGGGACAATTCCATGGATGCTCTGCCCTCCAATTTGCCAGGTATTAAAGCTGTCAGTGGAGCCTGAGAGAAGCCTGAAAGTATCTGTTTAACTTGGCCCCCAGCCTGCACATCTCAGAGAGCTGGAGGGAAAGAAAAGTTAGTAGGGTTTAGTTTGGCCACAATGGGAAACTTTCAGTCCCCTGTAGACTCTCAGCAAGTTTTGTTGGGTTTGTGACCCTGTAGGTCAGGAGACTGGATATCTGGGAATAACCCAGCGCTGGAATCGGGCTGGTGTTTGAAGGACTCCTCAGTGCTGACATCAATGTCTGCTCCAAAGACAGAAATCTGGGGAGTGAGGTCAGAAGCAGCTTTTGTCATTGGCTGTCTTATGACAGACTAAAATGCAATTAACTTCCAAAACGATTCCTTTCATCTAAATGCATTTCCTCGTTCAAGCTGTCCAAGGGCTTTGCATTTTCCCCTTCAGTGCTCCTGTCACTGATACTGTGTCTGCCCTGCTCGTGCTCAGCAGCAGAGGTGCCTACGCTGGGCTGTGTGTTGGGATGAGGCTGCAGCTCCTTTTCCATCTGTCCTTGGGAGATCCTTTGCTCCACAGGAACTGCCCCAGCACATGAGAGCTCAGCCTTGCCCTTGGGGTGGCCAGTGCCTGGTGCTCCAGAGGAAAGCAAAGCCCCTTTGTGCCCTGAGCCCACTGTACTGCCCTGTGTGAGACAGAGAAATCCTCCCTGAGCCCCACCAAGAAACAAGTTGTGACGGATCTGATTTGATTCATCACACAATTATGCAGCTGCAGAAGTTGGTAATGGGTATGTAATGAAATAATGTCATTAAAAGCTAAGTTGGCCATTCTGTGGCTCAGTGCCTCTCCTGGGCTGGCACTGCACTGCCCAGAAGGGGTTTCCTCACTGCCTGTGCCTCTGATTCCCGAGTGCTGCTCAAAGGTGATCAAATAGGTGAGAAATCTGCTCAGAGCTGGGACTGTGCCAGCCCAGGCCAGTCCCACCATGGCACAGTGCCGAGGATGAGGTGTGGAATACCAGGACATGGAGCTGGAACAGCTGCCCCCTGCCCCAGCATGTGTCACACAGTGACCACCTGAGAACTGCTTCGCCCCTGCAGAACTGTGGCCTGTGTGGGGCAGGGCAAGGGGCCAGAGGAGATCTGAACTTAGCCATTCCCTGACCCCAAACAGATTTGGTAACCTAAAGGACCCTCTGTCACACTGGACACGTTTCTCTGGGGTGCTGGGGGGGGTCACAGGTTTTGGAGGACGTGCTGAGCTGCTCCAGCCTTGTTCCGTGGGCTGAGACTGGAGCTGGCCAAGGCACAGCACTGGGCTCCTCTCTTCAGAAAGATTCCTCCAAGCCAGGGAGGTTTCTGGGGCAGCACAGAAATGATGACAGCCCTGGAGGAACCAATACTAGAAACTAAAAGAATGCAAAAGGGTATCAGCAAATCCCTAAGAGTGACGGGGGTAATTCCCAGCAAATCCTGCTGCATCCAGGCTGTATCTCCACAGGTCCCTCAGCCTGGTGCCATGTGGAGTCTATCAGGTGTAAACCAACCGAGGAGGAGGAAGGCAGGGGTGTGAAGGCAGTGCTGGGAGCTGAGGGGGGCTGTGCAGGCAGGGCTGTGCCAGGCAGCCCGAGCACCCTGAGCCCATCTGGGTGGGCACGAACGTGTGGGGTGGCTGTGGCTGTGCCCCTGGGTCAGCCCCAGCTGGGAGCCTGGGCAAGGGCACTGCAGGGGGAATTAGAGCCATTAACAGCTCCCCTTTTCCTGGGCTCTGCCAAGCCTCCTGCTACAGATGAAGCTGAAGACAGTACGAATTACATGTAGAAAAAGTTAGCCTGAATATTAAGTAATGTTTCACAAACTTTTTAGGAGTTTCCTGAAGGTGCCAAAGTTGTTTAGAGGATACCACAGAGGATAATCCTGCAATAGTCAGAGGGCCTAAATGACCTACTGAGGCTTTTTCTTCCTTCTGTGGGAACCAGAGATTTTGGTTAGAGGTAGAAAAATCCTGAAAGCATCAAAGAGCTGGGAAATCATTACTGAAGCTGTTTATTTTATGTGAGAGGGAGCCAGTTGCTATTAGTCTAAATTTTGGGGTCAATGACTTGAAGAGGAGCCTGGAGAAAAAGAGATGACTGAGAGAAAATCCCCCTGTGAAGGGAGGGCCTCCAGCACCAAGAGCAGAACTTCCTCAAGTGCTGTGGAGCAGCTCTTACTGCTTTGCCATAAGAAGCCCAAATATCTTGCCCTCACTGGGAAAAACTAATAGATTTTTGTGTCCATGTAGGAATTCTGGCTGTGTGTTTATGGAAAGATGAGAAATTGGGCTGATTGTTGCCAAGTAGAGCCATTTGTCTCATGATCACACCTCTTAAAAACATGTAGGAGCCTCAGGGCTTTGGAGGAGCTTTCACAGGTGTCTAATGAGGCACAGAGTAAGAGTGACTATTTTTTAAAATTATTTTAATTTTTCTGCAATTAGAGAAATAAAAGGCTTATTTTTCCTTCTGGTAGTTATGACTGATTCACAGTTTGCTTTGATACATTTTAGACTGAGTGCTGTGCAGTAGGAATTTCATCCTGGGTTCCCCTCTGGCAGTATCAGTGCATCAGGACTGTGCTGGCACAGAGAGCTCAAGGGATTGGGATCAGGAAGTTGTTGTTTTCAACACTTCTAGAAAAAAAGTACAGGCAACATAAAGTTTTCACAGGCCAAAGCCACCCACTCCTTGAGTCTGTGTCCCCTCCTGTGTGGCCAAGCTGCCCAGGTGTCCCAGCACCCCAAAAGCATTGAGATGGAAAGCACCACAGCCAAACCCTGACTGGGGACCACAGCCTTGCACAATTCTCCTTTTAGTCCTTGCTGCTTTAAGTATAATCCTGGGGCAAAAAAAGGGGCTTACAAAACTCCTGAGCAGCTACTCATTCAAAGTTCTACTCTGGAGAGCTCAGGCCAGGTCACAGTGCAAGGGGCAGGACACAACAGTAAGTATATTTATTATCTCAACATCACAGAAGAAAACTCTTCTGCCCTGGAGCAGAGATGGTTCCTAACATTCTCTGAGCATCAAAAGGATTCCAGCCCAGGGTAGGCTGAATTTTTGGGAGGCACCTTGTGTTTGGACATGAATGCCTGATGCTCCAGAGCAAACCCCCTCCATTTCAATAGTATTGACTTGCCTTAGGCTCAGTTTGGCTTTAGCAAAGGCAGTGATGGGCTCTGGGTGCAGCATCCAGAGCCCAGAGAGGATCAGCTGAGCTTCAGCCCACTGGTGCTGTGGGCCTTGGGCAGAACCAGATCAGCAGTGTCAGAGCAGCTCAGGAGAACTGGAGTTGGTGGGGAATGGGACAACTGAGCAGATATCAAACCTTTTATCATTTTAAACAATAACTTGATTATAGAGACTCTGGGAGAATTTCAAAGCAGTGCTCAGCTGCAGCCTGTTAATATTACAAGCTGAGAGTCATCCCAGCATTAAATCCCTCTGTTGTCTCTGTGCTTCCCTGAATGCTGGCTCCCTTATCCCACTCAGTCTTTGTCTCCCGCTGCAGCTACTGCTCTGACTTTCTCCTTCAGCTATAAAATGCTCAGAAATGGTTAGTCTGGCCTAAGAGTGGTCCCAGGCCCAGAGTATCGGATTCATCTTCAATAAACTCTTGACACTGACACTACATGGTGTGTACTGTTGGCAAGTTTTACACTCCACAGAGAAATGAATGCAGGATAAATAAACAGCAAGATTTTGGCAAAAATAATAAATGCAGCCACCCTGGTTTAGAAAACATGCTCAGCCTTTGAACAGTTTTGTTTTAGAAAAGAAAGCCTTTGAAAAGGATCCAGGGTAAATGTTTTTGATAGAGACAGATACACAATTAACAAGGGTGACTTTATCTCCCCTGTTAAACCCACATCCCTTCTGACCTCTCCAGACTGTTCTAAATGCTTTGGAGGCTCGTTTTCCAAGTTCTCAGTGCAGGAGCACCCAGGGGTGTCCTGTCCTCAAACGAGAGGGCACTGGGGTGCTCTGCACTGTGTTCCAGCTGTTATTTGTGCCAGTGACAGTCTGCCAGAGTGAAAAAAAAAGACAAAGAAGCTGACAAAAGCACTGTCTCAGCTGGACCTCAAGCACTTGGTGAAGGATGTGGCCAAGAAAAACCACACCTCTGTCCATCCATCCCATGGGAATTAGGGCCCTGGGAATGAGGGGACAACAAACAGCTGCTGCAGGGTTTGCTGTCACAGCAGCTCCTTGGAATGGTCTCCCAGGGCCTGGCTGGCACACAAAGGATCAGGTATCTCATGCAGAATGGAATCCCTATGGAAGTGTGGGCTGGAAATGGGGAGAACCCAGCTGGAGGGGGTCACTGACCCCCACAGGGCCATGGCACTTCCCACTCACTCCCAGTGGGCCTGACAGCTGTTCAGGTTTTCCTGGAAATCTCTACAGAACAGGCTGTTATGGAATTCTGGTGTTTTTCTATACCTTGCTGGACGTTGATTTTCCTGAATTTCAGCAGAAAGCCTGGAAGGGGCAGAGAGAGAACCTGCCTTTGACAACTCTTCATCCAAGTGGGAGAAATGCAGCAGGGAGCAGCAGTCAGAGGTGACTGACAGGAATCTTTAGAAGGATAAACCGTCCCAGGGAGGCTCTTTGTGTGTGTATGTGTTGGATTTGCGTCAATGTGGCATCACGCAGAAAAAGGAGGTAAATCAGCCCAGGTAAAGCATCCCAGTAATGCAGCTCCTGACATTTGAGCTCCTGTTTTCAGAGCTGGTGCCATTTGGTCTCCATAGCAATGCCCTGTGCTGGCAGGAATCCTCTGCACAGCATCAAAACATGGAGCCAGGTGCAGATCTCTGCTAATCCCACCAGGTACAGCCCCACCACAGTGCTGGGACGGGGAAATGCTGCTGGACAACATTAGTCCTGAAGCCATACTCCTATCCAGCAAAATCCAGAGCATTTGCATGCTCCCTGTTAGTGTTGCCTAGAATTCCTCGTGTAAACTTCTCCCTTTTCCTCCTCTCCTGCCTCCAAACATCCAGGAACTGATGGTTTTAAGGCAGCTTTTGCCTTCTGCTTTTCTCTCTGAGTGGGGCAGCCACCCCCTCCAAAACAATGGCACACTCTCCCCAAGCACTCTCACAGGAACTCTCCCATAATATCCACAATTGCAGGAGGGTTTTCCTCATCTATAATTTCTCTTTAATGTAGAAAAGTGGAGACTTGGTGTAGAACAAGGAACTGCTCTGGTGGGAAAGGTCACTGAATTTAAGACAGAGGAAACTAATCCAAATATCACCAACAGATTTTCAGAGGAAACTCCAGGAAATTCAGTAAAAGTGTAATTAGCTCAATTAACTGAATAGACATAGAATTCTTTGCTACAGAATCATTTCTTTTTTATATTTTGGGCAGCTGTTCTTTGAAATTCTACCTGTTGACATTTTAATCAGTAAAATGGGTTACTATTGTCAGGAAAGTGGAGAAGGCCTGTTTGACTACTAGGTCACTTCTCTGCCTGTGGGATTGTTACTGATATGCAAAGAACTGGGAACAAAATCCTAAATATCTGCTTTTATTCTTCTGTGATTGTACTGTGAAGGGATAAACATAAAGGGATAAACATAAATAACCTCTGTTTGTAAACCAGGCTTGAGAATAGAACTCCTGGGATCCTGGAGGTGGTGGGATCAAGGGAGTTCTCTGCAAGACTGTCTTCGCTGTGGTGATAAAATAAATGTAGCAATCTGGTAAATGTACTTGCTTTGCAGTGCTTATGCTGTCCTTCACTGTGCACACACCTCCCCAGCTTCACTCACGTCCCACCAGTTGCACAGGTTCCAGCCCCTCTGTGTGTCCAAGTTAAATATACACTCTGGTATAATCATAAATGTTATTTTTTGAGTTAATAAATCAAGTTCTTCAAAATATGTTCCATCAGTGAAGGAGAACACTGGAAAAGCCCTCAAGAAACAGCTAAAATATGTATATTCTCAGCCTTTTTGCTCCTATCACTTGCCATTTGCAGAATGTTCTGTCCCTTGGTCTCCAAGTACAATAACCATGGTTTTTGGTGATGGGGCTGAAATTCAGAGTTGCAACTCCTTTTAGCTTGTTGGGACAGTCCAGCAGTTTCCCTTTTGGAGTCAGAAACAAAACTGCAAATTTCAGAAGCCTTTTTCTGAATGGAAGACTGCCTTTAAAAAGAGATGCCCTGAGTACTCACGCCAGAGCCATGATCCCGTAGGGCCAGGAACGGATTTCCAGCCTCTTGGGGCTTTTGATCTCCTCTGACGTCAGCACCATCCCACTGTCCGACTCCTGAGGGGAAAAGGAAGGAACAGCAGTGATAAACTGGGACCTGTGCACTGGGCCTGGTGCAGGGCCCACCAGTCCTTCAGAATATTCCCTTCTCGGGGCCTGTGTTATCAGTTTTTATCCTGTTAGATGGATTAGAGCTCTAATGCTGCTCTGAAGCCCCAGAACACTTCCCTTGTTTCTGTGATGCTGAAGCTTTTGATCCGTATTTGGAAGGAGCAGCCTTAAAATGAAAATATATCAAAAAATAATGTGACATTTTCCAATTTGAAATTGATATTAAGCATATGGGTACCATGTACGTGGGATGGAGGTACAAACAGACTGAATTCAGAGAGAATATATCCAGGAACTCTGGCTGGGTTCCTCCAAAAAAAAACTCCCTAAATACCTCCTAAAAATACACTTTTAGGAACCCTGAAATTTGAAGGAAGTGGAAGTTCAGAAGCATTTTGCAAATCCAAGTGCTTTGCAAAGTTACAGAGCCTTTGGTTGTGGATTTTTTATGAGCCACCCAACAAAACTGTCCTGGAGCCAGTTAAGGTGGAGGCTGTGGTTCTACTGCACTGAAAGCTGAGCCTCCAGGTTGCAGTTCAGATCAAGCTGTCCTTGTGCAAAGTGTTGTACAATTCTAGGGGGTTCCTTTGCATCTGAAATCTTTTGTGATGCCGGACAGTTGCATCTCTGTGTGTTTGTCCAAACTGAGACAGCAAAAGACTCCAACATAGAAGTGAAACTCTAGTTAGTCTTATTTTACCAGTCAAACTAATTGGAATATAAAAAATAATCCCAGCAAACAACAAAAAGCAAGTAAAAGCTTTTTTTATAAATACTTTGGGCATATATCAGTTGTTAATAAGATCAGTTTAGAAACTGGTTTCCAAAGTATAAAGTAAAATCCTAAATTAACGAGGTCTGTCAAAGCCTCAGTAGAACCCAGCTTGTCTCTGGTTTTTATCTGGACTGTTTCCCTTAGAACACATGGTCCAGGAGCAGTTTATCTGAGGGCTGCTCTGCATTTCCCTTACACTTGTCTGTTAAACCAATATCCACAGGGACTGCAGATAAGTGGCACAATTGCAGGAAGGTGTGGTAGAGCACTTGGAGAGATCCTGGGCAACTATTTGAAATAATGACCTAATGTCTCTTAATGTCATGATATTTAAGATAATTTTAGCAACACAAGTGCACTTAATTTGTCCAAGAGCAGATCACACCATAATTTGGCTTTAAAAGATCCTGACTGAAATATCACATTTATTTCTGATCTGATGATGTATTATTACCCTTTTTTTGAAAGTTTTCCCTCTTCATGTAAGGACTTGCTTTAAAATGCCCTGAACAGGGAGCACTTAGGCAAGTGATGCTCGTGCTGGCAGCAGTAATCTCTCACTGATACTGGATGGGTGTAGGAAATGTCTTTGTGTGATTCAGAGGGACAGATTTTTATCCTGCAGGAGGAAAGAGGCAGAGCCTGAGAAATTTCTGAGCCTTCTAATCCCTGAGATGCAGTGATAAACAGACAGAAATTACAGCTGGCAAAATGTCAGGGAATAATGGGCCTCGATCTGTGCTGACCAGAGAACAAGTGAGCAATGGACTCGTCAAGGACATGAAATATGTCCAGGACAGGTTGGAGCTGGAGACTTGACCCTCCCTAAGGGGGGTGGCTCTGTCCAAGAGGGACTCTGAGCTGCTCCTCACCATCTGAGCCCTGCCCTCCTCCTCTGCCAGGCACTCTCCTGAGGGTTCCATGCTTCCCTCCTAGACTTTGATCCACTTCAGGCATCCCTGGAGCCCAGAGACCCCTCCTTGGTGCACAGACCGTGTCCCTGAGGCAGAGGGTGTGGGCAGCACAGGAGCTGCAGCCAGGGAGTACCTGAGCCATCCAGGGAATCTGGGAGCTGGTCTCTGATTTTTTAAAATATGGAAGGAAAAATAGAAAGAAAACCCCTCCAACCTGCAGTTTCAGAGGAAGACAACAAGCAGAACCATAATTCTGAAACAAAACAAGCTTTTGTTTTCCCCTGGAGTGATTAACACTCTCACTTCAACACTGTTCACTTTGTGTGACCAAGAGCAGGATCTTGAATCTTGGTCTTGTCTACCCAGAACTGAACACCCTCACCCCCACCAAGTTATTGGCTGTCTCAGCCAGCCTGAATGTGTTCTGGACACATTTCCCTCAAAGAGCCTCATTTCAGTGAGCTGCCACTTTCCTACTGGTGGAAAAACATATTGAAATATGTAATATAAAGGCCCTTGGCCTGATCAAAGCCAGGGGAATCACACATGAGCTTCTCTTTAAATTATTTGTTAAGTAAAATGCAAGTCCCTCTTAGTTGTCACATAGACCTGTGTGTGAGATGCCAGGGCCAAACCTTCTGCTTGATTTAAAGCTGTTTCTTACCAAGTAGATTTCACAAGCTTTAATAAGTGTTTCTGGGGCTGGTGATGAGTGATCTGTGAACCTGGGGGGGAAGGAGGCAGTCACCTCACTTACCTCATGCATCACTTTCTCCTTTTCCACTGGCACCTCATCAAATGTCTTCACACTCAGGGGTCTCTTCTTGCTGTTGTTACTGCAACAGGAAAGTGGAGGGGTCAACCCCAAACCCAAGCAGATGCTGCAGCACTTGGGGGCTCAGTTACCCTGACCCAGCTCAGCCTCCTGGACCAGTTTTCTTATTTCATCCCTTGTAACTAATAACCAACACCCTGACAAATTTGTCTGACTCTTTAACCAGCACTATTGAGAGAGGACATCAGACAGTGCCCAGCTCCAGGGAACTCTTCCCTCCCTCCCACCCCTGTCTCAATTTTCCTCACCCAGTTTCCACTGCACTCCAGCGATTCACTCCAGGGTTCGAGTTTTCTTCCACAGGGCAAGTTTTGGGGTTGGATTCTCCATCGGGACTCAGGGTGATGTTCAGTGGAATATAGTCTTTACCATCCTAGATAATTAATAACAGGAAAGATCACAAAGCTGGTGAAGTTCATTTTGTGCTGCATCTCAGTGTAAGAGGTTCTGGTGTTCTACACAGCTTTACACTGGGAAAGGACTGGATTTTATTTCAATTTAACTTTATGATGTTTCTTCAAAGTGATTGTGGTGTTCCTTACATCATTCCTACATTCCAGATGTGAGGCTATTCTGCCTTCAGGGAGGGGCAGGACACTGATCTGATTTTCAGGAAAGCAGTCTCTATACTGTCATTGCCTCTTAGGGAATTCCAAGGGACAGCCCTCAGGGACACCTAAACCCAAGTTTAAGCCCTGGAGAAGGGAGGGAGTGGCAGGAATTCCCAAACCCCTGGGGCTGACAGGACATGAACAGAGTTTGGAATTGGTAAAAGCACATTGCCTATGTGTAGACTTTTTGGGTTTGTTCAGCTTCAAGAGCTGTAGTTGGGAAGAGCTGGTCCTTCAAGTGGGAGCCTGGAAGGATTTTATTTCTTGTCCTTCCAAGGAATCATAATGAGCTCTGCATTGTCATCACCCCCCGCAGTAATCCCAGAAATGACTCTGCCTTTAAGGTCTGAAACTATTTGTCCAAATTTCTCTTTGTTTATTTTTTGTTTTTAATTTTGAGAAGCAGTTAAGTGCCCTATTCCCTTATCATGATTTTTATGTCTCCTTAATTTACTTTGGTTATAGAATAAAACTCCCAAGCTCTTAATGTTGCAGACTGAGCCCTCTTCAACTCAGCTCCACTACAGTTGTTTACAAACAGGAAGGAGCTGTTTGATTTCTTCTTAAACTGACAATTGCATTTTTGGTTGTTTTTAATGAAGAAGAAAACAACTGAATTAACTATTATGACATTAATAATGCTATAACTGACTTTCAGAGCTTTAAACTGCATAATTGTAGAGCTCCTAAGAGCACTGGTGGACATAATCTTGGAAAATGAGAAAGTTCAGGAGGTGGAGGAAATCAGGAGTGAAGTTGAAACCAGAAAGAAGGGAGGTGTGTGTGGGAAGATGATTTTAAGATTTGCTTTTATTTCTCATAATCCTGCTCTGATTTATTGGTAATAAATTGTATTTTCTGAGCAGGGCAGTGATGGGGTGGTTTGGTGGGCACCCAGCCAGGCTTTACTGTGCTGGAATCTAATGAGAACTGTTGGTGAGATAAAGTACTGTTGTCCCTCTGAGGGACAACTGGACCTTTTTCTAATGAATGTAACTTTCTCTTGCTATGGATGGACAGACATCTAGTTTTAAAATATAATCCCCTTTGCACAGTTACCATTTTCTTTAATCATCCTGGCAGCCTTTTTCCTTGTGAGCTCTGTTGTGAGGTCAGAGGTAATCTTGGTGCACACACCTTTCCCTGCACACACACAGGTATCCACACCCCAACACATGCACATGACCCCGTGTGCCAGAGGTCTCCTGCTGTGCTGTACCTGCTGCACACTGGCCTGCAGAAGGTCTCCCAGGCGCTCCACGAGCTCGGTGAACGTCGGCCTCTCGGTGGGATCTCCATGCCAACAATCCAGCATTGTCTGGTACCTAGGGAAAAACCCCAGGGATTCAGAAAGGGAAAGGAAAGAAGCTTTGCTTCCAGACTGTTTCATTCCACTGCTGCTTGGTTTGGTCAGTCTTTGGGTGGTTATGGGTTAGGACAGGCTCAGATCTCCACGTGCTGGAATTCTGTTCTAGTTCCCCCGTGGGATGGTTTTGGCTTCCATCCTTCTGCCTCAGCAGAGCCTTTAGGATTTTTGTTTTCACCCAACTTCAAATCTGGCTGCTAGGCCCTGTGATATTGCTGAAATAAGTCATGGTTATGGATGCTGGGTTTCTGTTCCAGAGCCAGAAGTCAAGGCAGAGACAGAGGTGTCCTGAACAGAGATCCAGGAACTACAGCTCACATGGTGGACCTGTTCATCTTGTTGTTGGCAAAGGTCAGGCTGACTTGGCCTGTCCTTGGCATTAGTCTGTGCTACCAGGATACCCAAGGTATGAACAACCACAGCATTTACTGAAAACAAAATACAAAATAGCTGAGGTGCCCTTCCCCCTCTTCACCTGAACATAATCCAGTTTTAATACTTAAATGACACGTGTCAGCTCTCAATACGCGAGCAGGAGCTCTTACACTTCTGGGGTGGAGTACTCTGGGGATCTCATCCGGGTCCCTTCCTTGAGCCGCCGGCAGAAATCCTCATCTATCTGCACTCCAGGGTACGGGGAGGCACCTGAGGGAGAAATGAGAGGCTTCAGAGTGGCACAGTCCCTCTTTCCCAGCCCAGGGGATTAAACACAAATCAGTGATCTCTGCTGAGCATCTGGGATTACCCAGAGTCTGGCAGCAAAAGAAGCTTGAGCAAAGAAGTTGCAGTTACATGTTCTGTTTGGAAACCTGTTACAGACTCACTCTGTCTCTTCAGAGATTTCAATCCCAGTGTGTCCTCCACATTTGTGATACAGCCAGGACCACTCCAAGGTAAAAGAGGGCAGAAGAGAACTAAATTTTATTAGTTTGAGACTCTAAATGACCTCTTGGTCAGCGGTAGAAAAGTTCCAGCTCATTCAGTTGGTTACATTCAATAAACTATTAGCCTGCCAATCTCCTGCACAGAGTGAGCACACATGGAGTCAGTCAGTCCTGCTCATCCTGCCTTGCCTTGGAATCTCTGGCCTGGCTGGTGCAGAGGGAGCTGTAGGCACCTGGCTCCTGCAGAAGGCCCCGAGAACCTGCAGTTCAACCTCAGGTGTGGAATTGTGCTTCACTAACTGAGTATTGTGTGTATTATCCAGTCCTACAGGCAAAACTTCCTTGAAAATGACCTTGCAGCTTTTTAGCCTCGTTTTCTTCCTTGAGTGTCTTCAGGGCCACTGCAGTGTCAGTGTGAGTGTTACTGTCCCTGGGAGGGCAGCTCGTGGCAGCTGTTATTGTTCTGAGAGGTAGAGTGCTCTGAAGGGACCAGTAGCATTGTATTATTGCACAAAAGTTGGCCAAAAGTCATGAACATGAATAAAAAAGTCATCATTTGCCTGTGCAGATGGTTCTCTACAGAGGAGGGACTGGCGTAAATGCATCAAATATGCTCCTCAACTAATGAGCTATTCAGAGGTTATGCTCTTTGCTGTATGACATCTCCAGTGTTCCATAAATAAGGGGAACAAATATATAGTTTGGTAAAGTGCTCTGGCATTTGAGTAATCCAGACCTCACAGGTAACATTCAAGAGAAGTCTGTGCTGAAGTTTGAAAGGTTACTGAGCCTGCTGGGATAGACCTGAAAGATCTGTAAACTTCCCTCCCCCCCTCCTCAGCAAAGGCTTCACATGCAGCACAACCTTGTCTTGCACATTCTAGCATCCAAAAGCTGGATGATGAATTTGGAAACAATTTAATCAAGTCTCAGCATAGGGGATTGAATGGAATCTGGATCTGTATCCAGCCCTCGAGGAATCTGTGCATGATCTACTGTCTATAACATTCCTGCATATTTCCTGCTATTCTTCCCCCCATTTGGAAACACCATCATGTGCTCTGCACTTGGGGGCACAACAAGCACACCAGAAATCTTTTGGATAAAAGCAGCCAAGAGGGTGCCAAATCGTGGCTGCTCCCAGAATTATTCTGCTCCATGAATCTGCTTGCTCAGTCTGCAGAGCTCTGCATGGGGAGCTGAGATCCTGGCAGCTTCCCAAGAGGGCACCTCAGCACAGCAAACAGGCTCCAGTGACATCCAAGGCTCAGGGATGCTCACAGCACATCTGAAATCTCTGGATGTGCAAGGAGCAGGGAGTGTTTCCAGGAGTTCTGTAAGTTGGAGATAGTCAGTAGCATCACTTCTGCTTTATATCTGGATTTGCCTTCCTAGATTTGCCTTTCACCTGTCAGAATAACCTGGTAATCCACCGTTCAGCTCACATGGCATCACCCATTAGCCAAGGGCCTCAAAACAGGCTCCTACCACCTCCCAAGATCCCTGTGAATAAACAGATGGATAGAAACTGTGGTGTCACCTTCCCACAGTGTCCCAGCCACCAAACTGCTGCCTCTGCACCTCTCCTGACTCTCACTTGCTTGTCTTTGCATCTGTGCATCTGTACAAACCCTGAGAAAGGACTGGGGCTTCCTGAACACCCTTGTGCTCAACAGGGGTTCAACAGCCTCTCCAGAGGAGCCTCACTTGGTCTGCCTGGCTCTACACTGTCGACGACCAGGGACAACACCACAAACCCCCCTCATTAGAGAAGAGACAGCCTTTTTCATTGATTGCCAACCACACTGTGCCACTGCTGTGCCATGGTGATCATGATTTCCATGGGGAGGACCTGAATGGAGAACTGGGAGGAGCTGAATGGAGTCAGACCTTGATGAATGGCCACAGGACCATTCCCAGTGCAGAAGAAACCCTTCAGTTTGTTCAGTACCACTGGCTAGACCTGGCTCAACAATTATCTTACTGATAAGAATTAATCTTGCAAATGCAGTGATTGGGATGGAGACCTTGAGGGCAACACAAGAGAATGGGGTGAGGAGGGATGGAGAATTCCCCTGGAGCTCACCTTCTGAGTGCTCTCTCTTTGGTTACATCATTGATCATATCAACTGCAATGTGCTGGTGAGAGCAAATACAAGGAAGGCAAAGAAGAATAATAGTGACAGGACAAGGAGTAATGGGTACAAATTGGAAGAGGGGAGATTTAGGTGAGATATTAGGAAGAAATTCTTCCCTGTGAGGGTGCTGAGACACTGGACCAGGTTGCCCAGGGAGGCTGTGGATGCCCCAGCCTTGGCAGTGTTCAAGGCCAGGTTTGGATAAGGCCTTGAGCAACCTGGTCTACTGGGAGGTGTGTGGGATGGGGACTGGATGATCTTTAAGGTCCATTCCAACCCCTTAGCACTCTGTGATTCTAAGAACAATTTTTGATTGCAGGATCTCCTGGTAGTTTATATTTTGACTGGTGTTGGCCTTCTACCAGCTGGAGGCAGCTCAGATCATAAAAGCAAGGAACTCTCCTTTTTCCACTTCCACTCACCACTGCACTTCATCTGCACTATGTGATAAGCCTGATAGCTTGGATTTGGGATGCTGAGACAGCTTGGAAGAAATGTAGACTGAAACATGTGGTGTGAGGTCTACACATGATGTTTTCCTTAGGGAAAATCTCTTCCAAAATGCTCAAAGATGTGGCATGCATTGGATATGGGAGCCCTCTTTTGATCTTGGTTTTATTTTAGTAGGATAATAAGATGCTGATGTTATACGAGCAGGCACTGCTTGTTTACATAATTATCTCTGATTGCTTTTTGAACAGTGCACATTGAAATTCCAGGAGACACCGACACTCTGCACCATGAGTGATTTCAGGATGTATTAAACATTGCTGGCACCACCTGACATGAGGTGTGCTGACCCCTTTGGAATAATTTAAAGCTCATTGCAAACTCAGCCCCAGATGAAAATGAACAGTCTCTCTCAAGCCCTGATTTCCCTGTGTATCACCAACATGGATCCAGCCTTTCTGGAGGAAGCCTGTTGTCCTTCTCTCAGCTCCTGCCCCTGGAAGGACCCATGACCAAACTAAACTCTGCAGTTTCCTAATCAGTGTTTTTCCCTTTTTTAGAGGGTGCTAAGTCTGTGGGACTCAGTAAAAGCAGCACTTGTAAATGGGAGCCAAAACATACCCCGTAGCAACGACAAACAACCTCCATCCCTTGGCTCTCAATGATCTGTAAAACTTTTATATAAGAGAATTCAATCAGCGACACAAATCCTTAATTAAATATTTATCATTGGAGCTGCAGATGTGAGCAGTGCCAAACCACAGGCATGCCTGGATGATCTGTATGAAAAACCCTCTCAGAGAAAATGACTGCTTTTGAACCTGTGCCACTGAGAGAAAAAGGAGTTTGTGACCTACGTCATCCCAGGGCAGAGGCTGTGCATGGATGGCAGCCCTGGCAGGAGTTTGGTAGGTTCCTCTGAATTCAGAAGAGGACAGTCTATTGTGCCAGAAAAACACCTTCATTAAGAAAAGGAACTATCTAAAATTAAAAGAAACCAGATAAATTGTTTTTAGAAACTAGATAAAAATAGAAGTAAGTTTCAGTGACTCTGTTTTTTTATTTATATTAGTCAGGCCAAATGACCTGAAAGTCACATCTGTTAAAGTCTGTCAGGACCTTTGGGAATGATATAAAGCCTGTTTCTGCAGTGCCTCTTGCCACTCATCAGTGGCAGTTCATCATTAGTATTCAGTTCCTTTGGTTCCCTGGAGGTGCCCAGTGCCTGTTCCCTCAATATGTCTCTGCTGGTGCGTCTTCCTGAACAATCTGTTAAAAATGGGGCACCGCTGGTGCTTCTGGAGCTTTGCCTTTCTGTGGTGTTTCAAAGCACCTGCAGCAGGTGATGCTGTTACAGAGCCACAGAGGTGTTACACCAAAATAACATCACTAAATAAACAGGACTGAGCCCTGGAGAAAGCAGGAACTGCCACATATTTTAACCATTTGAATGTGAATTTTGTTTGCTGACATGGACTAGAGGAGAGTCCAAATGAAAGACTTGGACTGAAAGCAAGTTGTGATTTTGCAGCCAGCCCTAAAGAAAGATTAGGACAGAAACAGCTCCAGACTTTGCATCTTGACTTGGCATCTTGAGCCCGATCATTAATTTCGACTGATCCATGAACTAAAGATAGAAGGAGATTACAGAGTTTGCTTTAAAATCCAGCATCTTAAGCTGACAATGCTTCTTGTTTTCTTTTGTCTGCAAATGCTGATTAAAAAGCCAGAGCTGACATTCCTAAATTCCCTCAGGAAAACAAAACTTGCCACTCTGCAAGCAAATCTGAGAGCAGCAAAGTCCAACTGTCTGTGAGGCTGCTTGTCTCAGTTTCACAGCTTTATCTGCTGGACAGGAACCAGATCTCAGTGAGGCTGAGATTTCTAACAGCACCCTGGGATGAAATCCGTAGCACATAAAGAACTCTATTCCTGTTTGTTCAGCAATGTTGTGGCTTGCAAACGATATGGGCACGAGAGCACGTGGTTCTACCTGTCCACTGCCAGAAGGACTCAGGCAGAGCCCAGCACTGGTTCTCGGATCAGCCTCATGGCAGCTGCTGCCAAGAGATTTTTCTTACTTAGAAAATCTTAGATTTTGTGGGGAAGATAATTAAGCTGGGATAAAACATCATGTGGGCAATCTCCCTTGTGTTCCACGGGCTGCCACGAGCAGCATCAGCCCCCTGTGCCCTCAGCAGGGGGACCCTCCAGCCTTGGGGCCGTGGGGATTCCTGAAGCAGATTTCTTCAGGAAAATATGGTTGGATGGGAAACTTCTTCATTGCTGTCAAAGTATCTCAATTCCCAGCAGCAAGGGCTTGTGTTGTATCTCTGGGTTCTGTTGCTTTCAGTGGCTACAAATGTTAGGTCCAGGATTTAGGATTTTTGTTCCCCCCTCTCCAGTGTTCACTGTTTTCAGGTGGAGTTCTCACTAACCTCAGCCCAGTGGCTGTATTTCACACCTGCCTTGCACTGTGCACTTGTCCCAGCTGAAGCAGAAATGCTGCTCCACATCAGCACTTTTTGTTAAAAGCTTTTCTTAGCATAGGAGCCATAAATTAGGGGAAAACCATTCTTACCTAGAGAAAATATTTCCCAGAGCAGCACTCCAAAGGACCACACGTCACTCTGCGTTGTGTAAATCTTGTCAAAAATAGCCTCTGGAGCCATCCATTTGAGGGGGAGCCGGGCCTGGACACCAAAGACACAACAGGTTGCCAGGGCTGCTGTTACTGATCCACCCAAGCCCGTGGGGAACAACAACTTGAGGATAACAATTCCAGCTCCTTCCACTTACATCTCCCTTCCGTACGTAGTCGGGGTCTTTATAAATGTCCCTGGCCAGGCCAAAGTCACAGATCTTGACCACGTTGTTCTCGGAGAGCAGGATATTCCTTGCTGCCAAATCCCGGTGGATGCACTGGAAGGAACGAGGACACAGGGGATCAGAGGGGCTCCCTGCCAGAGCTGAGAGCAGGAGAGCTTCTTTGGGAATGGGGAGATAAATGACCTGCTGTCGTGAGCAGGTTAGAGAAGGGAATCTGTGAGGGAACCTGCCCCAAACATTCAGTCCTATGCAAAGGAGAGAATTACTTGGGGAACAAGCCAATATTGCAGGTAATTCTCTGACTTTCGCAGTTATGACAAGACAAAGGGAGTCCTATTTTCTAACTAAGTGTTCACTGGGAAAATTGGGAGAGGTCAAAAAGCAGCTGCAGCTACATGTGCAAATGCAGGCCCAGGAGTGTGTGAGATGGGGGTGACTCTGCTCGGGATTCCTGTGCTCCCTGGGAGCTGTGTCAGTGCAAGCCCACAGTTGTGTGCACACTATGGCATGTGTATTACGTTCCATTTACAGAAAAGGTGTTCCACAGGCTGCAAACATCCTTCCTATTGTATCCAAAAGAGGTGCTAACTCTGCTGACAGGCTCCAACACTGCTGACAAGCCAAAGGAATAGCTGGATACTCCCCTTCATTTTTCAGTAGTGCTGTTGTTGATCACACTAGAAGGACCTTTCTCTACAAGAAGCCTTTTCTGCATTTATTTATGAGGCAGTTCCAAGAATTGTCTCACAATCTGTATTCATCCTTTCTATCCAAACTCTCCTGTTACAGATGCCAGTCCCTGCAGCCAAGAACATGATGGATATCCCTTCCCAACCCCTTCACTGCTACTTATTGCTTAACCACCAGAGCCAACATGATCTCAAAGGCTTTAATAGAAGAGCAAAAAGCAGATTACTCAGGCTCAAGAGCGTGTTTGGATTTCTCCATGTCAGATACTCGAGGTTCTGGGACAGAAGTGTGAATGAGCTCACTTTTCGGGAGGCGAGGAACTCCATGCCTTTGGCCACTTGGAAGCTGTAGCAAATCAGATCCTCCAAAGTCAGGGGCCTCTTGTACAGATCCTCAGCATCTAGGAGAGATCACAGACAGGGCAAAACACTGGGGCAACAGCTCCAGACCTCGGTGGCACTGGTGCCTCTGGCACTCTGTGACCCCAGCCCTGCATCTGAGTGTCGGTAGGAGAGATCTCTGCTGGAGCTGCAGCTCTGGGGTAGGAACCACTGATCCAGAGGCAGAAGATCAGATGATTTAACAAGTTCTAGTGCACATTAATCATGTCATTTAGCTATGGGGAAAACAACACCTGGGGATAGGAGTGAGGAAAACTTTATAGAGAGTGAGTGAAGAGATTGGGAAGAGAGTGGCCTCACAAATCTTCTGGTAAAACATTGCTATTGCTTCTCTCACACAACAGGAGCAGCTTTTCTATGCAATTCATCACTGCCAACCCCTTTTGGTGAGAAAGTTGGAGTGGGGAACAGGCAAGAGGAAGAATTTGCAACTTCGGGAACAAACCAAGCTGTGTCAGGGCTTGTAAAGTGTGTGACAGCGTGTGTGGCACTGGCCAAGTAACAGAAACTTTTACAAGAAAAGATTTGGGATTAGGTGGGGTTTGTTTACCTTCTTCATCATCTTCTGAGTCGCTGTAACTCTTATCTTCAATAAATCCTGAGCTGGCAGAGCTGCCTGTGCTGGCTACGCTCTCAAGGCGCCTCTTGATCAGTTCAGTCAGGTCACTGTTGGACTCATCCAGACTCTTCTCTGCTTGGTCAGAGTTTTCCTGGGACTAGAAATAGCATAAAACTCATTTGTAGCTTTGCTTGATGCAATGCCTGAGGATTCAAACTGTGGAACAGAATGGCATATGGAGAAAATGTCCTCTTGCAGACGAGCTCCAAACATGTTTGAACGTGATGTTCCCTGAAGAGCAGAGCTAAGGAAGCCTGGTTTCCTACTAATACAGAACCTCCCATTTCACTGACTGCAATGTTGCCCCAGAAAAGTGAGCTGGGAGCTGGCTGGGGGAGACTGAGAAGTGAGCAGAGAGATACTGTAGTTCTGTGCCTCTTGCTTTCTTGGGAAGGCATCATAGACCAGTTCAAGGCACGTGCATGATGTGCACTATGTGTCTGTCTCACCCTGTCCTGGGGAGGGAGACAGAACCAGCCCCTCAATTCATCAAGGAAACAATGGTGAGAAAGAAATTCTGAGTGCCTGTACCAGGAAAATCTCCTTCACTCACACAAAGTACCTCACGTACTTCTGTGCCTGTACACAATGGCTACAATAATAATAATAATAATAACTATGGATTCATCCGGGAAAATAATCTTGGGAGGCTCCAGTTTCGGGCAGGGTTGGGATCAGAGAGCCCTTTCCATGCTGTATGTTCAGAAGGAGGAGGCAGTGCCATTCCCTCCCCAGCACTGACTCCTGGTCTCCTGTGTCCACCCCCTGTCCCAGCCCAGGCTGTGCCAGCACAGATGTTTGTGTGGATGCAGAGAACTGTTGGAAACCAAACCATTTGGTTAATTTTAGTGCAGACATGTCCTTGATCCAGGTCCCTGCATCCAGCACAGACCGGGCTGGCACGGGGGAAGGGACAAACAGAGGATGGGAATGAGCAGATGGTGGAAGGATGAGCTGCTTTTAGTGGGGGGGGGGGGGGGGCCTAGAAACAAAAATCCCCAAACCAGGCTTACGTTTTGGAGGGTTCACCTTCTCCTAGTTCAGTTGAGGCCAGTTTTTCACTACTACTTGTTGCCCTCCTTGAGCTGGGGGTAATTTCCTCTCTCCCTCTTAGGTGCGCTACAGTGCTTGGGTATTTGCAACTACTTCAGAGGAGGATGGGAGTGAGACCCTGCAGAGTACAACATTTTATTTTCTTGCTCATACAAATTGAAATGTGGTGAGAAAATACCCACAGAAATGCCCAACAGTGCCAGTGCAGAAAAAAACAGCCTGTGTCCATGGTTGTTGATTCCCTGCCTTGGGACTATGAGAAGTGTATCATTTTCTTACCTTGCATGCAATGAAATCTCCCCGTTTTCCTCTTAAATAGTTGGACAGATTTCCATATTTGCAATATTCCACTATGACCATTAAAGGACCTAATAAAGACAGTGGGAATCAAATGAGTTTTCAATCATTGCAAAGCACATAATTCTAACTTATCCTCCCAAATCCTCTTCAAAATAAGTAAATACTGGAATTCTTATGACACAGAGGAGAGAAGTGACACTCCAGAAGGACACAATTAGTAGGGATGTGGAGAGAAGGGAACACAGTGCTGATTCTTAGTTTTAGATGTTGGCATTTATTCCTTATTTATCAAATAGGAAAATTCAGGATGATCAACAGAATGTCCAGTCTCAGATGCTGTGAAGGTTGGTTTTCTCTGTGCACAGTCCATAGCATGGAGCAGTTTTCATTTTCTCTGCTGGCTTCCCAATTGTTTGTTTTGGGTGGAGCTGATGCCATCAGCGGAAATAAAAGTATGCAGGGCCATAGGCAGATCTGAATCAAAAGTTGCAAAAATACTTAGTCTGAAGTTTTTGGAAGCCTTGAAAGTCCTCTCAGTTTCTTCCTTTCTCATTTCTGTGCAAACTACTGTAGATTTAGAGCAATTGCTGCTTTTGTACAATTATGCATGTTTTTAAGATCTGCTTGAAGTGCTTTTATGTTGCAGCGTGAGCTGTTAGGGGAGGGAAAAGCTGCATTCTCTACCTTTGGCATAATCACTGCTTTTTGTAATCACCAAATGTAAGATAAGGTGAAATCACAGGACTAGGATGTGTATAGACAGGGATTACTATCCACCCTAAGCTCTCAAACTTTCGTGTCCAGAAACTTTTTTCTGTGGAGAACACAGAAAGTTCTGTAGTTCAGACTTAGGAGCTTGAACTTCAAAGGAAAAGGGCTGGGGGAAAAGGGCTGGGAGCTGCACTTGGCCTTGGGGAAGGAGAGCTCTGGGCAGGATTCCTGACTGGATATATCTGACCTGGGCACGCTGAGCCTGGACAGTATTGACTGGGGAGGATCAGAGGGGGAAAGGAGGGAGCAGTGACCCTGGGAGAGCCTGGCTGCTGCATCCCTCTGAGACAGGGAGAGCATCTTTTGGAAGTAGATGGTCCCATTAACAGGGAGATGGTGAATCCCTGCAATGAGAACCAGCAGTTTGCCCATGACACTGTATTTCTGCCTGGCTCTGTACCTGCACAGCCCCACGGCTCTGCTGGGCTGAGCACACACCCTGGGGCTGTCCAGGAGCCCCAATTCCTGCTGACTGCAGCTGGAACATGTTCAGCCCTGGGAAAAACCACAACTGGCCCCAAACCCGAGCTGCCAGCGGTGCCAGCGCTGTGCCCCACTCTGCAAGGCTCCAGTGGTGGGATCTGGCCCTGCTCAGTTCTGAAGGACCCAAACTCAAATGTCCCTCATGGGCGCCCTGAGGAAATGCAGATTCCAAGAAGCTGTGAAGCTCCACTTAGGGATTTATTCATGTTTTTGAAATGCTTCCTAGACATGGCCTCTCCGTATTTTGTTTCCTCATTGTGAAGCATATACTGTGCATTAGTTGTAACTGCTCAACATCAGACACCCCGCCAAAGTGTTAAAAATCTGTTATTTGTTACATTGTTAAAATAATATATGTGCATACTTAATATCAGTATTCACCAGGAATACTGTTCCATGGTTACACAAACCCTGGCAGGGAAGGAGAGAGAGCTGTGTTCTGCAATGGCTTTTTCATGGTAACTCCAATCACTGCCTGTCTCCAGAGCTCAGGGCTGTTTTCCTTTGGTCTGCACTTGCATTGCTCAGAGAAAAACAAAGCAGTGCCTGCCTGGAGGCTCCTCCGTGCCCTCTGCTCCAAGGACTGCTCTCCAAAGGCAGCAGAGGCTTTCCCTGGCACCTGGCAGGGAATGAGGGTCACCTCCCACCCGGAGGGCAGCTGGGATGGAGCGGGGTGGAGAACGGGAAGCGGAGGGCCCCCTGGGAGAAGGTGTTTCTCAGAGTCTTAGATCAGTCCCTGAGCTGTGTCTGGCTGAGCAAGGGGAGCTCTGGGGCTGAGTTGGTGCTTTGGTGAAGAACTTCTGAGCCCTCGGTCCTGCGGCCACGTTTGAGGCACCTCACTGTCCTGTCAGGGGAGGAGAATCACCAGCGTTCCCCTCTACTCACAGTCCCAAGCAAAGGCTCCTGGCTCCTGCCTCTCATCACAGAATACTGAGTTGGAAGGGACCCACAAGGATCACCGAGTCCAGCTCTTAAGTGAATGGTCCATATGGAAATCAAACCTGCATCCTTGGTGTTTTTAGCACCGTGCTCTGTCCAAGTGGGCTGGACCCTAAATCCCTCCAGCTGGAGCTGCCCATCCTCCCATACAAGCTTTTGGGGTCTGCAGTGCTACAACAATTTCTGCAAGTTTCCCCTCCCTGGCTCCCAGATTCCAGCAGTATCTGTGGCTGCTGGTTGCTCACTGCTCCCTGAGGAACTGGGAGCACCTTGCTAGAGGGAAGATTTCTGCCCTGGCATCCAACCAAATCTACCTCACTGAGGTTTTCTTTGTCCCCCGTGACTGGGCATGTTCTTTGGGAGATTGATAGCTTTGGAATCTCAGATGGCCACAGATGTGTGCACCATCTCTGTCACTGTTTCCCCTTAATTTATTTCACTCTGGGGTTTTTCTTGGGTCACCTCAATCTGTCCTTTGGGGGTGGTTTTGAAAGTTCAGGGTCAGCAGTGAAGAGCCATCCTTGAGAGCTGCTGCTCCTGAAGTTGAAGCATGGTGAGAGACGGGGATGGTCATGTGGGAAGGGATGTTGTAGCGACAAAGAGCTCAGATTGATGGAGCCCTTTGCTTAAGTGCACTTTGCCACAGACCCTTTGTGTGCTGTCAGGCCAGTCCTGCCAGCTCAGCCCTGTGCAAGTCCATGCTGTTGTTGTGTCCAGCTCAGACCTGCCCCAGCCTTCCTGCACACCAAGCAAAACCTGCCCCTGTTTGCCTGGAGAGGGTGAAGTGCCTGGGAAGGGAGGAGGCCTCAGTTAGCCAAGTGCTCAGCCTGGTGCATCCTCCTGATAAGGCAGGGGAGGAGAGGCAGGAGAACCTTTGAAATGACCAGGAGTGCCTGTCAGAACAATTGGGCACCTAATTGCAATTCAGTGTCCTGCTTCCCTGCAGGCCATAACCCTTTCTGTAAACAGGCTTCCAGGGAAAATAGAGAAGTGACACCATGGGCTGGGAGATGTTCAGAAGCCTTGATGAGGTGAGGCCACATTCTGCAGCAGCAGAAGCTCCCCTGTGAGCAGAGAGCTGGAAATGTTTGTGCTTGCATTAACTGCAGACTTGGACTCCACCTTGGGCACATCCCAACACCTGTGTATCTGAAAAGTGTTCCTTTGCTCCTGATTTACTGAAGGCTGCTCACCTCCAGCTTTGGTGCAGGCTCCCAGCAGGTTGACTACATTCAGGTGATGTCCTATATGGATGAGGATCTTCAGTTCAGACATTAAAGCCTTGCATTCATTAGTAGTTGCACATTCTGCTTAAGATAAACAGGAAAAAAATCATCTTTACACAACAGGATATTTTGAACAGGACACAGCAAGATCCTGTTTATACTTTGAAACAAAACCCACCCAGGTTACTTGCAGTATCTTTGCTTTTCAGACTCTCAAACAGATAATAATTCATCTGTTTCATTGTCTGCTGACCTTTATGAAGTGGGATAACACTATCTTTTGGGTGCCTCTTCCTTTCTCGAGCTTGGGTTATGGAGGGTTAGTGTCCCTTCCCCCAAACCAGATCCCATTGCAAGGACTCAATTTTGCAAGCTTAGCAAAGGACCAGCCAAGCCCTCCAAGCCCCCACAGCCCATGGGAAGTGTTCCTCCATCTCTCCCGTGGCTGTGGAGCTCAGCAGGACTTTGGTACAGTACCTCAGTACTGAGCAGCTCTCCACTGCAGGGGATGGAGGAATCCACATTGTGTCCCAAAATGTACAGCACCACTAAATCCCAGCCCTGTAAGAGCTTATCAACCCCAAAATAACTTTTCAGCAAAGCTGGGGGGACATCTCCGTGTGTGAACCATGACCTCAACACTCACTGAAGCCCATGGCCAGTTACACTGTCCTTTAGGGAAGGAGAAGGTTGTTCAGGTGCCTTGTTTTCCCTGCCTTCTCTCCAAAAATTCCATAGTGTATTTTAAGAGAAGGGGCTGTGTGCTTTTTCCTCTGGTTTTGCCTTTGCATGATGTAAAATTTAAATATGAGGAAACAGTTACGTAACAGATATTTTGGTGTGACAAGTGTAACTTCTTTATCTGTTTGCAGAATCCTCCACAAACAAATCTTTCCCCAAACTGTGTCATGAAGGAGCTCTTCCAAGCCCAAGATTTCTCCAATCAGCAGTGTTTGTAGCTGGGTGTGTACATGGGTGATATCACTCCTGAATTCCCTTGGCAGGAGGTGGAACACACACCTGGCAAAATCTGAATGGTGCAGCCTCACAAGTGTCTCAGATAATCCTGCCCATTGAATTTTAGCTTTCAATCCAGAACAGATACCAGCCCACTGCATGGAAATGACACACAGCACTGGAATTGCAGAAATGCAGACATCTCCAGAGCCTTTTTTCCCCCTGAATGGATTGACTGACACTAGAGAATCTGCTTTATTCATGAAAGTGATGAACTATGGGCATGTTAGTTGGGGAGGGACAGATGAGAGCAGGAGGCAGCTGCCTCCACTGGGGGGAGGGAGGTGTAAAATGATGGGGGATCTGGCAAATGGTTTGCTGAATATGTGCTGGCAGGGCAGAGCTGGCATGAGGATCAGCTGGGAAGCACAGCATGTAGGGGAATGAAAACCCAGGGCTGTCCAGGGCAGTAAGTTTTGTATGGAGATGGGAATGTGTCTGGATCAGGGGCTTCTAGGATATTTCAGGGATTTCAAGATGGACATGGGATAGAGGAAACAACATCAGGAGAGATGATCTGAAGGTCTGCTGACTAAAATAGAGAAGGGAGACCAGATTCCAAGGAGTTCCAGACAGGTGATAAATGGATGCTTTTGCAATTTCAGAGAGACAGGAAGCAGCAGAGCATCAGGAGAGGCAGCTGGACACAGAAGCCAAATCCTGTGGCAGCAGTGCTGTTGCAGGGGTTAGTAGTGTCATGCAGCAGTGATGGAGCAGTGTGGGCCAGGAGCAGCCACCCGGTGAGCATGGATTGGACCTTGGGAAACACCCTCAGTGAGCAGTTAAAGACCCTGACCCAAGCAGGCCATGTGCATTTATTCCCATGCTGTCTGCAGAGCTTTGTGTGTAAATACAATATGGAAGAACAGGCCCCAGGTTCCTCCTTCCCGCCACCGAAGGGTAAAAGCTTTCCTTAATTTCAATAATTGCAAGCAAGATGTCTCTAATTCACTCCCTTGGCATCGCTTTTCTTCCAACCCCTTGAACTGTTCTACATCTGGAAGGGCTGTGATGGCAGCTCAGATCCAATTTCAGCCTATCTCATGTAATTACTCTCCGTAAGCTGTTTCCCTCCTAACCCCCCAGACCTGGAAGCTGCTGTTTCCCTCCTCTAGGAATCCCAGCCTCAATCAGCAGCGCAGCACGGAGCCCGCCTGTCATTTCCTCCACGTCCCAGCACTGCAGGATGACTAATTGCTCCCACATGGAAACCCACTCCCTCCTGAACACAATGAGCTGGGGAGCTGAGAACTGGAAACCTCATTGCCCGCAGGTCCCCCGAGGAGTCTGGGGGGGGTCTCAGAGGGATGGATGTACCTTTGAGCATTTTTACGGCAACTGTTTTGCAGGTTGAAGATTTATCAATGCCAAAAGCAGACGCCTCCACCACCTTCCCAAAAGCACCATGACCCAGTGTTTTACCTAGAGGAGCAAGAGTCAAGAGTGAGCCCAGGGGACCGACAGTCTGGATCAGGAGGGAGGGGAACATGCAACCTGAGCTGTGCAAGAGATCCCAGGCACAACACACAGCCCGACAGGCACAGAAGCTGGATCACATATTGCAGCATATGGATATACGGGGGGGATTTATATCCATATGGCTTTGATGCGATACAGGACGGGATAGAACAGAGGAGAATAAATCAATCTGCACTCAGCTGAAGGCAAGGCTGATACATACACATGCCTGGAGGGTAAAAACATTACCTAGGGCTGTCCTGAAGCCCAAGAAAGTCAGAGTTTGGGTGGATTGTGGACCCCTGATCTCTCAGGAATCATGGAGAGAGCCAGCTGAGGCACTCAGGTAGTCACAGCCCTTTAACCCTTCAGTTATTGACACTGATTTGAGGGCAAAGCTTTACTAAATAGAATTTAAGATTATATTTTATGTTCTCTTCCATTTGAATTGTCATGCCTGTGTTACCTGGTGTGCTCTGAGGGCTCTGACCCCCGGTGCAGCAGAGTGCACTGGGCATCATGGATAGTCTGACTCTGTGTCCCACCATCATCTCAGCTTTTGTGATTTTTGTCTATCTCCTTCTTCCATGTTTTCCAGCTGAAGCCCCAAGAGCACACACAAATACAGATATATTCCCCACACTCCTCAGAGCACACAGATGTTACTGTTTAGCTATACAAACACAACCTGCTTTTTACATTTCCCTGCTCCATCAGCCAGTGAGCTGAGCTGGTAGAAGAAAATTGGTTCATTTTTTCATGCTAGCTCTTTACAACTCAAAGCCAAGTTCAGATGGTCAATAAGGAATTGATTATTTGATGAATTGATAGGTTTCTTCAAAATAAAATTCACTGAAAGACTGTGACCTTTTGGATTGACTTCTCTTCCCCTTTTCCTCTATGGGAATGAAACCATACTTTTGGCAGGGACAGTACCTGGAGGTACCTTTCTTCTCTGTCGATAGTTTGGCTTCACTTTTCCAAGGCAGAAAAAGAGGTGCCAGCTATTTTGACATAGTCAACATCTTTCCTTTCCTTACCACATCCCTTGCTCCACCCTCCATTAAGGACGATCCTGAGCTCTGTGACCCTTGATCCAAGGATGTAGTACCTTGGCACTAAAGGATAGGCTGCTCCTGGGTTATACAACAGATCCACTGGAACTGAGCAGTGTTAGGAATCCTCCTTCTCCAAGAAAAGCCCCAAAGCACTCACCCAGCCTCAGCCTGTCCCTTGGGAACTCCCACTTGCTGCTGTCGTAGGGAAGGCGGTCGCACTGCTCGTCAAGAGGCATCTCCTCCGGATCCATGATAATGGACAGGTATCCTGTCTTAATATCTGTGGCATCAGGCTACAAACAGGGGGTGCAGAAATTATTCACAGTGTTTACCCTGCGACTCTGATAGGAGAGAGCTGTGGAGGCTGAGGGATGTCTGGGGAGTTCCCTGCACTCCAGACTTAGCTCTCCAATTTATTCTGAACCATCACTCCAGCCTCCTGCCTCTCCTTACTTTCCATAAATGTTTATGTGTGCCTGCCACTCATGGCTGTTGGGAAGAGTCACTGATTGATGCTGGTAAACACTCTGAGGACACAAAATCTATTGCTGACTTCTACCTGTCTCAGTGAAAGGAAATCAGTGCTTTTCCATGGGAACTCCAGGAGTTGCTCTTCCTGGTGCACTAGAGAGTATTTTGCCATTTTTATAGTTTATATATTTTGTTTTGCAGTCTTGATTCTCCATGGTTACCCACTTCGTGGCTATTGCTTATTACAATTTAAAACGGGTGCAAAGCTGGTGGAATGTGCTACTTCTGATGCTGCAAAGAGAGAAATTCCGCTTGGATGGCTCCTGCGAGGGGACTGGTATGGGGGTAAAATATAACAGGAAATTCAGCATCGTCCACAGCTCAGTTAAACTGAGGTCAAGGAGGAGAACGTGAATTTAATCACTGTATTTGCAATAGGAGGGGGAATCTTACTCAAATGTTGGAGATCAGCACTGGGACTGTAGCTTGGTGAGATTTAGAAGAGAGAGCTGTGCTTGCCTCACTGTTTGCTGTTTGGTTTAGGAAAAACAGACCTAAATTCCTTGGAACTTTACTGCAAGTTTACTTTCCTGAGTCACAAAAGGGAGGTGAAAGAAGAGCAAGACTGGCAGACCAAATAAGCTGTGTGGTTTGAGCGCATTTCCAGGATCTTTCTTGAAACAGGGCCTCCTTTAATATCTGTGTTTCAGAAACAAGTGCTGAAGTCAAGCCCTCATTTTAGAACGTATAGGATTGGTTTTTTGTTTCTTAATCTCACAGGCCAGTTTGACTCATGAAGAGGGAGTTGCCTGATTTTATGGTACCACAGGAGTGGGTAGAAACCTCACAAGTGCAAGGGATGTCTGGAGAAGTCAACGGACTGCCAGCAGAAACCTTGGACTGAATTTTATAGGGACATTTTGCCCAGTTTTCTACTATCTGTCCCAAACATTCAGCCCTGAACTCTGATGTTACACATTAACTTGAGTCTGATCCCAGACTGTGTGCAATGTGGGAGCTCTTACTTTTCTCAGTTTCCTGATGAAGAGGGTGAGGAGGAGCCAGAAGAGAGTGGCAGCCAGCCCAGTGCACACTAAAATGATCACTTCGATGTTGGATTTCTCCTCAGAGCCTGCAGGTTAAATATACAACCACATGATAAACACAGTCCATGACTGAAGAACAGTTCTCCTCAGCCCCACAGAACATCTGTACTTCCCTCAGGCTGGGCCTCACCTTGTATTTTGATGAAGGCCGACGTGCTGTCCTGGCCTAGCTCGTTGGACGCCCGGCACTCGTAGAGCCCCTCGTCGTCCTTCTTCACCCTCTCAATGACCAGGGTGTTATTTTCCATGGAAATTCCTGTTGTAAGGGATTTTGGTTAATATTGGCACAGTAACCTACCTGCCTGCAAGTGCTTTTAGGAGCCAGAGAACTGAAAGACAGCTCCCATCCATCCAGGTCTGGCACGTGCTGGTGTTTGGAGGCATTTTAACCCTGCGTTCCTCATTCTGGTCTGGCAACAACCTCTCTCTGACATTTTTTTCTTGTCAACATCTATATAAATTTCTTGGGGGTCATTTAACCAAGAGCAAATGTGGCTGTTAATTTAGAGTGGACAGAGCCTGAGAAAACTTCTCTGGAAGTTAGTGAAGGGATGGGAGGACAGGTTGTCTGATAGCAATAAGAAACATTGGGGAAAAAGGGAACTCGGTGGAACTACTGGAGAAAGCTGACATCTTGGAAGCTGTGGAAAGTGATGGACTTCTAACACATGGAACATGGAAATCAGGTTATGTCCATCCCTGGAAAAATCACTATGTGGAGCAATCCTGGACTCACCGGCAGCCAGGGGCTGATTTGTGGCATTACATTGAGAGCTCATCTGTTTCATTAAGGATACGATTGGAGCAGAAATAGGGAAATGGGTCAGGCTTTGAATCCAAAAGGGAAGGACATTTTGAATTTCTGGGTGTTCTGCCTGTGAATCCCGTTGTTGTTAACAAGAGCACTGCACAGAACTTGCCATGCACAGTGCTGAAATATTTACCCTGAGGTGTTTTTTCCAAATATTTTATTTATGTTTCCATTGGTTGGATGAGTTACAAGCTTGTCCCTCTAGAATTATTTATAAAATTTCAGTAGCTATGAAGAGTTTCTCTCAGAACATTCTGATCTGAATTATGGATGATTCTAGATTTCCTACCTAGTCCAGGATGCAAAATTAAAGTCACACGACCAGCTACTGACATGGGATCCTCCATGATTTATGGGAGATCTCAGGACATGCTCTGCTCTGCAGTGAGGCAGCCTCACCTCGAGTTCTGGGGGCAGTTTTGGGCACTACAATGTAAAAGGACATGAAGCCCTTAGAGAGGACTCAAAGGAGGCCACAAGGATGGGGAAGGGTCTGGAGGGGCCACATGAGCAGCTGAGGGCACTTGGTGTGTTCAGCTGGAGGAGACTGAGAGGAGACCTCACTGGGATCTTCAACACCCTCATGACGGGCAGGAAAGAGACTCTGATCTCTGCTCTGTGGGACCAGGGACAGGACTGAGGGAATGGCTGGAGCTGTGTCAGGGCAGGCTCAGGTTGGATTTCAGGAAAAGGTCCTTCCCCCAGAGGGTGGTTGGGCACTGCCCAGGCTCCCCAGGGCAGTGGGCACAGCCCCAAGGCTGCCAGAGCTCCAGGAGGGTTTGGACAACGCTCTGAGGGACAGGGTGGGATTGTTGGGATGTCTGTGCAGGGCCTGGAGTTGGACTCAATGATCCTGATGGGTCCCCTCCAACTCAGGATATTCTATGATTCTGTGACAGAGCTGAGAAGGAGCTCCAGGCTCAGGTGAGGGAGCCCGTGGTGGCACTGTACCTGTCCAGTTCTGGACCAGCTGAGCTGGGAGCACATCCCCCTTCCTGTGCTGGGGGAGATCAAGGAGGGGGCATATGCACCTCACCTCTGGGAGGTGACTGCCCACACTCTGCTGCAGTATATCCTGCTCGGGACATCTGACAGCCCAGCCTGGGGTTGTCAGACCCACCTGACGAGCAGGTACACTGTGTATCTCTGTTTTGTACCCAAGTGTTGTCTCCCCAGGCTGAGCAGCAGCGCTCCCTGATTTACCAATGCTGTGTTATGTGCAGGCTGCCAGGCTCTGCACACAGGAGCATCCATGGGCAGCCCTTGGGATGCAACCGCTTTCCTTGACCTCCAAGGCCAATGTGGAGATGCAGCAGTGCTCTGATATCCTGGGATTTGTGTGTGTGTGTGCCCCAAGGCTGTGGGCACTGTCCTGGCTCAGCCCTGTGTTGTGGTGACCCTGCCATCCACTATCCCGTATCCCGCACAATTCCTCACCTGAAGCTGCTGAGATGGGGTATCCATTCTTCCTCCACGTCACCTGTGGCTCTGGGGTCCCGCTGACCCTGCACTCCAGCAGGATCTTCCCGCTGATGTTGACCTCCAGGTCCGTGAGGTTCTGGATCACGAACGGCGCTGCCTTTGCTGCAGCCACAAAGGGAAAGAGCCACAGTGAGCCCTGGGAAGGCAGCTCCCTCAACTCTGCCATCCCCGCTCCTTCCACAGCCTCTCTGGGCTGGACAGGGCAAAGATTGGGCCAAAATTCCCCCAGAGATTGTGGGAGGAGTGGGGGAGTTTGTCTGGCTTATTTTCAAACTGACTAAGCTTAGATTCGGCTGCAGCTCAAACCTCCTCGAGTTTCTCATCCTCTGAAGAAAACAAAGGACAGTGAGTGGGTGATGCACATGCAGAGTGAACACAAAAAAAGAGAAGAGGAGGCAAAGAGGAAACAGTTCTAAAGGTTTTATATCCTCCATCATGAGTGCAGTTACTTACTTACTACAAAGCATGTTAACCCCCACTTTACATTCATTTCTAACAGGTACAGGACAGCAACAAGTAAAATCACAAGCACAGCACAAAAAAATCCCCCAAACCTGCACTAAGGACAAGTAGCTGACGGCTGTTGGAAAATTGAAAAGACCCTGTTTGAAATAGGGGAAGGAGGGCTGGTTTGGAGTAATTTCCATGTATGTTCTCCACAAGAATTGCCTCTGCCATGTGCCAGACAAGTAACAGACCCCTGTCACCCTCAGAGGAATGTAACCACGGTTCCGGTTCTCCATGGATGTATTCCCAGTTCAGCTGTGTTTTTCCCACAGCCATCCTGTGTGGGTGTCTGTGTAGGTGGGAACCTGCCTGACTGAATAAAAGGACGTGCCAGGGGAGAGGGAAGTGAAGTGCCTGAATGCAGAGTGCAGGGCAGGCCCAGAGCCTCAGGCAGGGGATGCTCAGGGTGGCTCTGGTGCCGGCTGTGGGGACCAGCCAAAGCACCAGCACTGCCATTCCTTCCCTTCCTCCCACCTCAGGATGAGCTCTGACAATAACTTACCTCCCACTGTGGTATCAGAGCTGTGGTAGCCACAGCTGGGGTGGGCTGAGCATCCCCCTGTGTGTGCCTGACTGGGAGAGGGTTCCTGGCTGCCCAGGGCATGTCCTGGTTCACTCCAGCAGGGATGGAGCCAGCACAGCACTGTCCTGCCCTGCTTTCCCTCAGTGACAGGTGCTCATGGCTCATGTCCCCTCAGTGTCCCATGAGCCAGTGGTGTACATGGAGAAGCCAGTCTGAAAATCCCTGTGTAGGACTGGGATCCTGCTCCCTGCCTTGCTGCTCGTTGTTTCACTTCTCCATTTCTGTGCTTTGGGCTTTTCTTTACCACTGGAAGACAGTCAATAAATCCAGCCATTCCAGCAGCCCCTTTTCTTCTGAGGAGGCCTAGAGATGATCACCCACTTTCTTCACTAGGAAGCAGAAGCAACTTCACTAATTTTCAGTGACTTTCTACTGGAAGAAGTATCCCACTCTTTATATTCCAATGGATCCAGGCAGCAGGATCTGCAGTGCTACTGTTTTTATGACAGTAAAAGAGTTGGGGGCTTGGGTATAAATAATAAAATACTAGTTTTACTATGAAGTGCATTCCAGTTACCCAGCATAAATGGCACATGTCACTTGATTATACACTTGACCAGTGACATTTGGGACTACATTTGCTGGATCCAAATCTATTTAGGTATCTCTGGCAGCTAGGAGTGGGTGGAGTTTTCTACCAAAGTCATGTGGATCTGGAGTGACAGTCCTAAGTTACAGAGTTGTGCTGTCAGTAACATGGGGGGTGATGGCTTTTGTCCTCAGTCAACCATATCTGCACCCAGCATGGAGTTAGGAAGATGAGGTGCTGCTGAAATCACCTTTATGTCTAAGGCAAATACTTTATCCAGACCCAGCAGTGGTTTGGATGAGTAATGTGTAATGTGCATGGCAGGCTGTCAATCCACATGCAGTAACAGGAAAAAATTAACCCAAACCAGGGCACAAAGTCTATATTAGAACTCTAATATAAAGGCAACCCCACTGCCACTCTCTGCTGGCACCTACCTCTGACCAGGAGCTGTGTGTGCTGCTCCAGGGTGTCCGTGCTGTTGTGCTGGTTCTGAGCTCGGCACTTGTAGAGACCACTCTGCTCCTTCGTGACGTTGGGAATGACCAGTGTCAAGGAGATGGAATATCTGCCAGTTTTCCTGATCAGGGAGTCGCTGGAAGCTGCCCCTGGGGAGGGGAGGTGCCAGGCCAGGTGGGTGTAGATGTACCTGGAGGCCCGGCAGGTCAGCCGGACGTCGCTGCCCACGATGGCTGTGACCTGGGGGGCTGTTTGCAACCCAGAGGGCACATCTGGGGGGAACAGAAAATGTGTTTGCAATTTAGTCACAGCTGAGGAGATCTCTGGCTGCCTGGTGGCTTCTCGGTGGTCAAATTTCCAAGGCCATGATGGAAGGAGCCAGGTTTAATGAGACCCATGTTTGCATGTGGGAATGGGCACTGGGGTTGGGAATTAGGGGAGTGAAGGTCCCTCTCACAGCCCATTGCTGACCTGTGGCAGTTCAGCCCTCAGTATTCTAATCATTCCACTTTCAAGTAATGAATTGAAAGCTTATAAATAGGAGTAGTTAATGGGCTGAGGGAGTTTAATCAAGAGAGGTGTTTACAGAGCCATAGTGCTGTCTACTCTCTCATTTGGGTCTGAATCATGGGTCATCTACCGCCACCACCTGCGTCTCCTAGAACGCTCCATCAACGCTGCCTCCGTACAATCCTAAACATCCACTGGTCAGATTATGTGACCAATACATCTGTTCTGGAACAGGCAGCAATCACAAGTATTGAGGCCATGTTGCTGAGAACACAGCTGTGCTGGGCAGGGCACGTCTCAAGGATGAAGGACCAACCACCTCCTCCCTAAGATCCTGCTTTATGGTGAACTTGCCACTGGCTGCCGCAAGAGAGGAGCCCCAAAGAGAAGATACAAGGACTCCCTGAAACAACATCTCAGCCTTGGCCATATTGATCAACATAACTGGTCTACTCTGGCCTCCAATTGGGAGGTCTGGAGACACCATCTATAACACTGCTGTTTCCTTTGAGAACGCTCACAGGATCATCATCGGAGAGAAAAGACAGCGCAGAAAGAATCGTGCCTTGCTGATCCCATCCAAGGAGTCTTTCTGCTGTGCCTTTTGCAACCGATCTTGTCTATCTTGCATTGGCCTCTTTAGCCACCAGTGCACTGGTAGCAAATGTGGGTAGAGCCCTTCCCAAATCTTTGCTCGTGAAGCCCGGCCATGATGATGATCTATCCAGGCAGACAAATGTGTTCATGAGCTCTTCCCTTTCTACCTGCAATCAGTGCTTGAAAATATAATTGCACAGGAATAAAGAAACCTGTTCCCATCTCTCAGGAGTAACATTTTCTTCACTACTGAACGGTCTTCTCAATACTCTCTTATATCAACTATGCCAATATTTATTTTCATCACATGTGCCTGGGTGGATGTTTACTTGATCACTGGCGGATTAACTGATCTAATGATGTACAAGTCCTTGAGGCCCTTATATTTAGCAGGGAAATACTCTGAGGCGTGACTCCAATCTAGCCACAGAAGAGTAAGCTGGTTTTTGCTATATTTTTAGTAACTTTTCACTCCAGAAAAAAAAATCAATTTTCCTGAAGCGGCAAACTGAAGCCATTTGAAGACAAGCAAAACTGTTGGAGCAGAAGGCCAGAGCCTGGCCTACAGACACATTCCTGTTGCTGCACTGGCCACCAGAGACCTGCAATTAAACTGGGGCTGAAAGATATTCTATTCTCTTTTTATTCTATTTGTTTGAGGGATCTGTGCACCCAGCAGACCTGAATGAGAGCACATGGACAATCACAGGGACCTGGAATTACTTTGCTGTCTGTTAGGTCAGGGTTTTCAAGCAACTGAGAGTTATGAAGAGCCCCTTACAGATGTTAGCAGGGTGGGACAGGGATGGGACACCCTGGGAGGACTCTGGGTCACCTTCTGAACAGGAACAGCATTTGCAGTAAATCTGAGAGATTGTTGCTTCAGCACCAAGCTGTTGGTAAGATGCTTTCTCAGGCCAGGATGGAATGGATGGTACTTTGGGAAAGACAGAAGTTAAAGAGGAGCAAGTGTGCACTGCACTTGCCATGTAACAGATTCCACATGGGAGCTGGAATTTGGCCCTGTAAACCCCTGCAAAAAGTTCTGCTGAAGCCACAGATGAGCATAAATAGTGAGGCTGTTGAAATAACCAATCTGCTTTAGAATAAACCATATATTATAAAAAAAAAACAGAGCCCCGAAGGAGCTTTCAGATATGATTAAAATTCCCTCTTCTTCACAAGTCATCTGGAATAGAACCCATGAGCTTTGCTTCATGGTTTTTAAAGACTGGAACCAGAAATATTTTACAAAAGATCCCAAAAGAGAAGCAATCCCTCAGGCACAGCTGTGGAAATTGTTATTTTTCTTTTCTTTCCCTGTCAGGAAATTTCAGTTTACCCTGTGCAGTGTGTTAGGCTCAGTTGCTCTCTCTTGTTTGAGCTGCCCTGTGTAACACGTCCATTCCTTACTCCTGATGTCCTGTGCTTCCAGCATGTCAAGGTGATGCTTATCAACATGGGGGCAAAGCCTGAGGGCAGCAGGACCTCTCTAAACAGGAAGAATTGAGATCTAGTGAAAACAGTGGGGTGTGGCATGAGCAGTCTCAGCCTCTTTCCTTGGGGGTGGATCTTGTCTTGGTTCCAGATGGGTGAAGTTCCTTTCTTCCAGTAGCTGTTCCAGTGCTGTGTTTTGGTTTGGAATGAGAATGGTGCTGATAACACACTGATGGCTTGGCTTTTTCCTAAGTCATGTTTATCCCAAGTCAAGGACCTTTTTGTCCTTGTCTCCTGCTTTGTCAGTGAGGAGGTTCCCAAAGGAAACTGGGAGGGAGCAGAGCTGGGGCAGGTGACACAAACTGGCCAAAGGGATATTCCACACCATAGAACACCATTTCCAGTCTATAAACTGGAAGGGACTGGTCTGGGTTTGGGAAGGGGGGTCTGGCATGGCTCAGTGGGTGGTGAGCAGTTGCATTGTGCATCACTTGTTTTTTCCATTTTTATTATCATTATCATTTGCCAGTATTACTGTATTTTACTTTATTTTTAATTATTAAACTGTTCTTATCTCAACATACAAGTTTTACTTTGACTCTTCTCCCCATTCCATCCGGGTGGGGGGACAGAGAGGGGTTTGAGCGAAAGGATTTGTGGTCCTTAATTTCCAGTTGGGCTTAAAACCACAACACTCCCGACCCTGAAACCACAACACTCCTGAACCTGTCAAACCAAAATAGGGGAGAAGTGCCCTCTTTACTTGCCTTTTTCTTAGTTTCCCTTCTAAACAGTTGCTGTTTGCTCCAGCAACAGTTAGAGAACTACGGTGGGTGGCACTGGCTTGGGTCTGGCACTGCCAGCAGGGGCTGGAGCACCCACCTGACACTGGTGCAAATTCCCAAGGGATTGGATGTGTTCCTTTCCAAGCCCTGAGTTGTGAGGGATGCTCCATAGCCTTGCTGCTGGACTTGAAAGTTGCAAGTTTTTTTCTACCAACTTAACATTCTGGGAGCAGAGGCCTGGCTTGTTTTTCTTATCATTCCTTCTGCTGACATTTTTTATTTAGCATTTGGAATATTTTTAGCTGGAACCTGTGCTATTCTCTCCCATCGTGTTTGCCTTTCAAGCAGCTCTTTCGGCTCCAATAGAATATTCATTGATTTTCATTGCAGTGGAAGGAAAAAGAGAGAGGAAAAAAAGTCTCTCTTGCTCTCCTCTCTCTTTTCTCCTCCTACCTGGGTTATCTGGGGAGTAGCTGCAGCTTTGAGAGCACATTCTAAGTAAGTCAGTTCATCTCTTCGACTGCTTTGCTTACATAATCTTGGACCTGAGCAGTGATAACTTCCTCTCTCTGAACAGATACAGTGTTTTATAGGACTCCTAATAAGTTGGCTAAAAGAATGCACCATGGGGCCTTTTCCCTTTTATCAGCAGTCACCAAACATTTGTCTTTCATATTGTGTTACAGGGTTGTAGCCACCAAGTTCCCCCTCAGCTGTGCAGGATTCCATGGGCAAAATAGGGAAACAGGCCATGGGGGGAGGGAAAAAGGCAGCACAAATCAAAGGGAAGTCTGGCTCCATTTGTATTTACAAGGAATTAATTGTTTTTAATTTCCTGTGCTTTGCACGGTAATCTGGGTAATTCAAAACTTCTGCTCTTGCCCAAATTCCAGCCCTGTGCCTGTCAGGGTGGGGGGCTGCCACCAGGCACAGGGAGGCAGGGAGAATGAGAAAAAGGGAGGGTGAGCCCCCCAACCCGAACCAGTGTGGTGCTTGTCAGAGATCCTGTAAACACATCAGGAATAAGCAGAAGCCAGTGGCACAGAATCACAGAACAGCCCAGCTCATACTTTGTTCTGCTATCTGAGAGCAGATTTTTATCTCCTGTTTGAAATGTAGTATTTTCTTTCTGGTGGAAATCTTTAACTCCAGTTTTTCTGACTTGTTTTTGCAATCAGATGAGTGCCTGAAAAAGGTTTTTCTTATTATTTGTTATTCTTATCCTAACTCGTTTATATTCTGAGAATGTTCAGAGTTTTCAGATGGGTGGGATCCCATTTTGCCTTTTGTACAAAGGCTAGAATTTGATTTACTGTGGACCTACAGTAATATAGAGCTGCCCTTTCCAAGGTGCAGAGCAGAGATTAGAAGGTAAATAATACTTGTCCATGGCAGAGAATCCCTCCAGGTCAGCTTTTCACTGCACTGGGAAGGTTCCAGTCTGCCTGGAGTGTCCTCTGGAGCATAACTGGAGGTGGGCAATGACATGAGGTGGTTCTGAGCACCTGATGGCTCACCCACATTCCTCTGCCCATGGCAAACCAGTCACCTGGTAAATGGGAACACTGGGGGCAAACAGTGGTAGGCAAAGCAGGCAGGGGACAGGCTTTGTTTCCACAAGGATTTACACAAAACAAAAATCCTGGACTAAGAGTTAGCCCAGGACACGCTGGATGACACCATAAACATTGCCATGGGAGCCTCTGCCACCAGGAGCAGCTCTAGGAGGGGCAGTGACAGTCAGAATATCTGAGAGAGCTCAGGGAGGCTCTGGACTGTCACTGAGTGAGGAGATTTCTCATCACGTTGGTCCCCTTATATGGTTTGGATGCAGAGTGATCTCCAAACCCTGTTGACCCTTCATGAAATGAACTCTGCTGGCAAAGAAATTATTTAAAAATAGACACCAGGGCTATTTCTGGTGTCCGTGGGAGTTTGTGTGGGGGCTCTGCAGTGGAAGAACAAAATGGCTGCTGACATTATTCCATTGGGATAAAGACATTTCTCTGAAATGAACTTGGTGATTAAAACATCAGACTGAAGTGAGGCAAGTCCCTAGAGAGCAGCCTGCACAACACCTGAGGATGTTTCCCTGGAACACTCTGTCATGTCCTGGGAAAACATCTCAACCCTGACCCAGTGGAACAGGGTTTTGAGGGAGTTCAGCCTCTGTATCATCCTCAGATTTCTTACCAGGGAAGAAATCTGTCAAGCTCAATTCAGCCAAAATGTTTGAAAGCAGCTCAGGATGCACCAGCTTGTTTGTTGGCAGGAGATAATGGGAGATCAGGTCTTTAAAACCAACACATTAATTGTGGGGTGCCACAACTTGCAGCTGCTTTGCAGAGAACTGGGAGGTGCTACAAACATTTGCAAACCTTGTCTTAAGGCCCATGTGCTGCTCATGCACCCCCAGGCTCTAACCCAGCCCTCAGCTCAGCTCTGAGCTTCAATGTGCCCCAAAGGAACCAGCCCAGCAATCCTAAAGGGACTCCTTGGAGCCTTGTGCTTGTGGACTTGCTCTGCTCAGAACCTCCCAAGCCTGGGTGTTCCCCCAGCACTGAGACTGGAGGCAAGGCCTGGGAAGAGGAACCTGTAGCCCCCTCCCAGTGCCCCCAGGAGAAGACTCAGCTTTTCCCCATGCTGAAGCAGACCTGCAGCAGCTCTCCCAGCAGCCTGGCCATGCTGGAACGATGCCCATGACTCAGCAGAGGACCCCCATGTGAACAAACCCAGCAGCAGGTCACTCTGCTGCTATTTTACTGTAGCAGCATGACCTACTTTAGCATCAGGATGGCCACATTTAGAAAGTTTGCATTCCTTTCTCATCCATAAACACCACTATTTTTAAACACAGCACTTTCTAAAAGCCAGTCATGCTCGTCCAGCATCTGCCTCTTCCCCAGAATGGCACAGACTCACAGCAAAATATCTGCCCTGCCAAGCCCCACTCACCTCCTGGTCTCCTTTGCTGGAAACATTTCCACCACAAACACTGTCAGTAATTTTTCCCAGTGATTCATTTCCTTCATAATTAAAACTTCATGATTAAAACATTTTTGTCTCAAAACATTGCTACATTGATCTTAAAATAAAAAAAAAATCTGAAATATTAACTCACTGTGGGTGGAACCCCCCCCCCCCACATAACTTTATTATTAAAATAAAACATAGTTGTGAAAGGTGCATGGGGTGATCCAACCCTTTGGATCTGACCTTGTGCTCATTACTTATTTAGTTGCTGCAGCTTTGGTTTTAGTCACCAAGTGTTGCAGCTTGGGAACACCTGGCTGTGGGTAACACTCCCCAGCATAATAGCTGGAATTCAGAGCAGACACCAGTCCACAAGAGGACTCAACACTTGGAAGCAGTGAAGTACTTCCAAGCTGGTCTTCAGCCTGCCTTGGACATCTTGAGGACCTCTTACATCTGGGCTGGATCTCCCAAAAGTGCACCTTGAAGGGCTTTTTCTAAGTCAGTAAGAGTCAGAGCTTTGAAGAATACATTTTGGAGGGTGAAACCCTCTCCTGTCTCCACTGGGGTAGCACAAGGAAGCTTTAATGGAGGTGAAATCTTTCCCCTGTATGGCACCACCTTCACTACTGTTGGAGGGCATTTTTCCTGTTTGCACTTCTGTGTGACAATGGTGTTGATGTCTAGTGAGCCCTTTTTCGGCGAGCTTTGCCCTCACAAATTGCTTCATGGGGAAGGAACCAAGCACTTGAACAAGGCTGTCCCTGGACTCTCCCCTCTTTTTAAACTCCCATCTCTCCTAAAAACATTATGTAGGTCTTGATCTCACTACTAAAGAATTCCTGTGTTGAAAGGTTAAGCAGATATTTGTTTGGATTTGTGTTCTTTGGAAAACTAGCGTGTCCACCTCCTCCCTGCAGGAAGGGCACTGGAGAGGCTGATTGCCCAGGCAGGGATCCAATGTCACAGCGATACCAGCCCTGCACTGGGGTGGACACTGGCCTTGCTCACCTTTACTGTGTCTGCTGACTTAACTGGAGACCAACCAAGTCAGGGAGAGGCTTCAGGCCTTTGGAAGGCTCCGAAGGCTCAGCTTTGCTGGAGGTTTAGTGAGGACAGAGCTCGAATGTCACGAGTGTTGCTCTCAGGCTCTGAGACTCAGGGCTGCAGCTGCAGCTGGGAAGGGCAAAAGGAGCATTGGGGTTGATGCTGGACACATCTGAGCTGTGCAGGACCCAGCCCTAAACAGCCTGGGAGTGCTCCAAAAACACCACAGGCAGGGATTCCCAAGAGTTTGAAGGAGCACTGAGCAGCCCTGTAAAGCTTGGAGGTGGATGAGCCCATCAGCGTGTGCTGAGTGCGTGCTGTGCTTTACCTGACACGTAGAGCTCGATGCTCCTCTCCTCCACGCCGACCTTGTTGGAAGCTACACAGGAATAGATCCCTGAGGCACTGCTGTTCTCCACAGTGAGGGTGCTCACAATCTGCCAAGCAAAGAGGAGGCAAGAAAAGGCTCTGAATGTGGGGAAGGCCTGGCAGAGGAGTGTTATGGTACAGAAATTGCTAATACAGTTGTTTCTAGTAACGGGTGAAGGTCACGGACACACAAGTGCTTCTATTAGGTTTCTGATCTCTCATCATCTCACATCACCTCAGCCCAGCTAACTTGCTTCCCTCCTCAATCCTAAACTTCTTTTTTTCCCTGTCTCATCCATGAAAAACAGGGTTCTCCTTCGAGACAAGGCCAAGGTCCTTTTGTGACAACATCAGCAAAAAGCTGAAGTGAAGGACCTGGAGGATTCATCCAAATGCAGTCCCACATCCTTCTGTTCTCTTTTCTGCTTCTCAGTTATGGGTTACATGGGTGACAAACATCCACATTTGCATGAGAAGCAGGTACTTCATGTGGATGTGGGGTAAAGGATATTGTAGGATTTTGCTTTGCTTCGCTGTAACCTCAGAGAAGGGAGGGAAGGATGTGGCCCCTTTGGTCCCCAGCTCACTCTTACAACTTGTGCTTGGAAGCCCCTTGATTCCATGACCCTTCCTCAGAGCTGTGCCAGGAGCTGTGTGGGAAGGAAGGAAGCTCTGGAGAAGCTGCTGGTGACACTTGGCAAATGCAGAAAGGGAGGATCATGAAGGATAAGGAAGGAACACTTGTCCTGAGCTTCACCACACAGAAAAAGGAAGTGTTTCTGTTACTCACGGGGCTGAACTCAAACACATCCTTAGGAATTTGTGTTCCATAAACATCTCAAGTCTCTGCTTCTGTGTAGGGTCCCCTTAATGAGGAGCAGCCCTGTGGCACTGCCCTGTCCCTGTCCCTGCAGCACCACAGGCTCATACAGCACTATCCATAGATTGTGGCTTTAATTATTCCTCGTGCTCTGTTGGGTTGGTAGTGAGAAATCAGGGGCTGACCAAGACAGAGATGTTCTTGCAAGATGACTCTGCTTCCCCTGCAGCCATTCACCTGAAGAACGCTGAGCCTTCACATTTGGAACAAATATCACTTTCTTTGCCATCCTTTCTAAGGCCTTTGAGAATCAAAACTTATAACACCCTCTGGCCCTTTGTCCTTATCTCCAGAGAGCACTTTGAAGTGCACAAAAGTATCTCTGGACTTTCTTTTTAATATCCTAAACTAAACTCACACAAGACATTCCTTTACCCCTCATAAAGCTGCATCATGAGTGTGTCTATAGCTGTGTGGATTGTCTTTTCAGAGTTATTTAAGGTTTGCTGAGCTCTGGCACTTTAAATCCTGTAGGGAAATGAGTTTCAAAGGGTTTGATCCCATGTGCATTTTACATTCTAATGGGGAACATTTTCAGCAGAATAACAGGTAAGTTGAAAAGCCTCTGCTTTTCATGGGCACAGAAATCAACCAAGAATAGGGACAAATCAAGTTTAGGGGTGAAAACAGCAGCCCAGTAAACCCAGCTCCCTCTGGTGTCCACCAAAGAAAGAGCTGTGCAGTGGTGGGTGATTTATGATGTGCAAATAGCTGTAACTTGGATATAAAATCACCCAGAGAAGCGCCTGCTCCTCCTCCTGTTGGTGTTCCTGTAGCCCTGGGCCTGATGCCATGGGCTGTTAACAAGCACATGTTCAGAGCTCTACCCTGACTTTGAGCAGCAGACACTGCCTGTGGAATTACTGCTGAATCAGGACCAAGATCTCTCTTCTCATGATTGCTGGATCTGAGAATTTCAGGTCTGGGAATAGCAAAAGCCAATATAAATGTATGTGCTGAGGATGGAAGGGGATAAATTTGGACAGCTCTTTAATAGTAATTAGTCTCTCTAAGTGACAGCTCTAGATGGGAAGTGGAGGATAATACTGTAGAGCCAGTCAAAAGCATAAAATATCCATTTTGGAATATGTCCAAAGTGTTAGGGGTGACACTGTGGCTCTTCTAAACACTGATGCAATGCCTCAAGCTGTGGCCCAGAGGTAAATGCTCATGAACACACACACAGATGCTGATGTCTCCAACTCCATAACTCAGGAAAAGTCTGGCAGGGTAGTGGGGAAAAAAAAAAAGAGCAAATAGCTATACTGAGACCTCATCATAGCTAATCTCAGTTGTGTCTAGATATGAAGGTGAAAAAGATGGTGGGAAACAATCTGGGGACAAATTCTTGGGAAAAAAACTACTCAGTAAAAGCAAGAAAGAATTTTCTTGTTTGTTTGCTCAAATCATTGTTATGCACTTGAACAGCAGTTTGTTACACACCTGATCTACAGAGACAAGGCACTTTACTGACTTGTTTTACAATCAGCACCTCCCAGAATCCTCCAAAATGTGACTTCTAAACCAGCAGCATCCAGAAGAGATCTATAGGTGATTTCAGAGCTGGAAACTCAGGATTTTGAGTGATTTTCTTGTAATATGAATTATTACAAGAATTAATTACAATTATTACAATTATTATAGAATTATCCTGAGATCATTATGTATCAACTTTTTACTCTAGCTTTGTGCTCTTGGGCCAATCCCTGAGACTGGGAGTCCAATTATCTTTCCAGCATCTGAAGGGAAGTTCTCAGTTGCCAAACTAACCTAATCCTGGTTTGGTCCTCAACAGTGCTGCTTTGGAACACTAACAGACTAAACCAAAGGGCATCCAAAGGCCTTCCCTCTATAAGACCACATAGTTTTGTCTTTTACCAAAAGCAACCTGAAAAGCACCTCTAAGCCATCAGTGGTCTCTGCTTTTTGAAGTACCTGGAGATCAGGAGACCCCTTTGAAGTGAACCAAGGAGATGCCAAAGTAACCTCTATTAACCCAGATGTTAAACCCCACAGGGTTCACAGTGCTGATGACTTGGCAGTTGAAATTTGAAATTTGTGTGCACTTGGTCATAGTGGCAGGCTGGGAAAAGGATTTTGTTCTTCTAAATGCCATCCCTAATGAAAAAGTGGTTTGAACTTGAGCAGCCAAACATAGGGATCTTTTCCCATTATTAACAGTGAGAATTGCTGGCACAGACTCCTCTCTGCCCCAGCATTTGGGGACCTTTTGCATGGAGTGGAAAAAATTCTGAGGGGATAATCCTCTCAGTGTGCTCAGTCCATGCACCTGGTGAAGTATTTTCTGCTCCTGGAATCAGAGCCAGGACAGAAAAGTCTGAGACATGGAGCAAGTCCAGAGGAGGCAACAGAGCTGCTCCAAGGGCTGGAGCCCCTCTGCTCTGGAGCCAGGCTGGGAGAGCTGGGGGGGTTCACCTGGAGAAGAGAAGGCTCCAGGGAGACCTGAGAGCCCCTTCCAGGGCCTAAAGGGGCTCCAGGAGAGCTGGAGAGGGACTGGGGACAAGGGATGGAGGGACAGGACAAGGGGGAATGGCTTCCCACTGCCAGAGGGCAGGGTTAGATGGGATATTGGGAAGGAATTCCTGGCTGTGAGGGTGGGGAGGCCCTGGCACAGGTTGCCCAGAGAAGCTGTGGCTGCCCCTGGATCCCTGGAAGTGTCCAAGGCCAGGTTGGAGCAACCTGGGATAGTGGAAAGTGTCCCTGCCCATGGCAGGGGGTGGCACTGGATGGGCTTTAGGGTCCTTCCAACCCAAACCCTCCTGTGATCCTGTGATTCAAAGCAGGGCTCACACCACAGCTGCTTCCCTTGCCTTCTGCTTGGAGCCCTCAGTCCCAGACAGAGCCCAGCTCCTGCTGAACCTCAGTAGTGATGCTGAGGGGAAACCTGCAACTGCCCTGAAACTCTGTATCCCTGCAGTGGAAATTCATGAACTATTTACAGCCTGGAAATCTGCATTCTCTAGTTTACCTTCCGCTCCCTGTCCTGGCCAAGAGCAGTTCAGGCTCAATGACACATCAAACCCCTGCCAGTGAGCTCCAGCCACGAGGGGAGCACAAACCATGGGGCTGTTCCATCCTCGGCTCCTGTGCAGACGGCGCAGGGACCAATGGTAATTAATAACAAATTATTGGCATGGCATGTCTAGACATCTTCCTAGTGGGAGCTGGATGAGATCCTGGGAGTTCACTGCATACCAAACACCACGCACCCTGCCTGTGATTGGATTTGCAAGTAAAGGGCTCAATTTCCTATGACTTAAACTAAAGGCCACCCAATACTGTGACCCCGAAGAGGGCATTATTAGCTAATAAATGATTACTGTGAAAGAATAGACTAAATTTAAAACTCAATAAGAAAAGAAACAAAATGACTGAGCTCTGAAGAACAGCTATGATGAGTAAATAGACATTGCTGCTGGGAAAACTCCTAATGGAATAGTTCAATAAAGTCCATATGTCCTGCACTGTAATGTTCCCAAGCTGATAAAAAGAAATTATTTTAGAAGCAGCCAAATAACATTCCACAGCCATGTACCCTGACTGTTTTAAGACGTCTTGTAGTAAGGACAGAGCAACCAGACCTTTTCTTAAGCTGGAGCCAGCATGCATTAACATATCTAGTTGTTCCTTGCTTTCTCTTTCCTTTGGCTAATCCCTCCCTCCAACAGCTTTAGTTAACAGTTCTTTCTCTTTCACTTCGTTAGCTCTGCGTGGGTGAGGATGAGGAGTGGAAAACGTGGGTGGAAAATTTCTCAGCTGTCTGACTCTGGCAGAGCTGGGCTGGAGGGGCGAGAGGGAGATGGAATTACAGGAACTTTAGCAGAGACCGCACAAAGAAAATATTCAACTAACTCCTAATCCATCTACTTGAATGGCACAGAATAACACTTGTTTTCATAGAGCCTGACAATTCTGATCCATGATGTTGGTTCATTCATTCAAAACATGCTAAAGGCTGGACTGAGGATGAGTGGTAAGAGAAGCCTGTGAGTCAGCTGAGAACTTCCAGGTTTGCTCCCGTCTCAGGCAGTGGGTGTTTCTCTCCCTGTGAAAGCAGAGCAAACCTCTTCACAGAGTGCAGCAGGAAAGGTGCTGGACTGGGCTGGAACTGGGGGAAACTGGAGGTTTGAGGTGCCTCTGGAAGAACTGGTATTCATCTCTAGTATGGACAGAGCGATTGCCCTCTGGCCCTGGGATGGGTAGGTAGGTCCTGGCCACTCCTGAGCAGTGACCACTCCCTGCTTCTTCCTCACAACCTGTGAATTCAGGAAGGAATTTAGGAGGGCAGGGAAGACCTGCCTGACCTGCCATTTCTGACCTGCCTGCTACTTGCCAGGCTCTCACAAGACCTGCCAAGGACAGTGTGTTGCAGTCCATGTTCTGTGCTTGGGCAGTGCCTGAAACACCTGGGCTGGTTTCCCAGAGAGTGGTGACTGCTCACCATCCCTGCCAGGGCCTGGTGGACAGGGCTGGTGGAGCTCACTGACCTGGGCACCCACACAGGGGGACGGGTTTAAACCTCCCGGCTGAGCTGCACCCACACTTTGCACCAAACACACCCCACTGCTCTAATGTAGTCTTTCTGTTCCTCCAGGAGGTCTAAATCTGGCATTTTTGGGTCAGTTTTCATGAGTGGTTGTGAATTCCACCAGCAGAAACACCCCCATGGCCAGGCCACTCTCTCGTATCTACATGAATGGGAGAAGAGAGATGAAAAAAACCCCCCAGTGAGGACTGAATTATGGATGAGTCTTGCTATTCTCCTCTGCTGGTCCTGTTCTCCCAAGCTCAGGCCAATGTGTTATTTTGCTAACAGAAAAGCAAATAAAATAGCAGCCTAACTCCTTGTGACATGAAGAGGAAACTCAGACCATTCCTGCAATCATGGGTGTTTCACCTGGTGTGAAAAAGCAGGATTCAGAGGGAGGTATATGGGGCTTTAAATCACAAAGTGAAAAGTTCAGTATTGACTCAAAACCACTGGGAAAATGACTCGAACACAGTGCAAGTGCCTCAACCATTATTTGACCAAAACTGCAGTGAAGTACATCATAACCATAACCACATGCTTTTCCTTAGGGATGAGTCTCAGCCTTTAGAAGGCAGGAAAGAGGTGAAATTCACTTCTCTCTCTATGGAATAATAGTGGAATCATCATTATGATGATGACAAGACAGCTCAATTTTACACGCTACTCCTCTCAAGAGTTGTCTAAAGATCTTCATGTGATCAAAGAGCACATCAAACACCAGGGGTTTGCTGGAAAAATCTGTGCTTGCTGCCCTGCCAGCTTGCTTTGAGAAAGCTTCTGGATCTGGTAATTCCAGGGCAGTTGTTCCCATGTTTTTAATGCATGTTTTCATGCTGAAACAGCAAGTATTGCTGCAGCTCTTGGAGAGTGAACTCTGGGAATGCTGAGGAATCCTTGAGATCAGGTGAATTGCAGCTTCTGCTCCAAAATCCAGCATTCACTGACAGGCTCAAATCCCCCAGGAAAATCACCAAACTCAGCTAATCCCAGCTTCATAACACAGTCCACAAAAGCCCTGCTCAGTCACACTCCAACATCTTCATTATTTCATCTGCCCAGTCAATGCTGATGAATTACTTGCACCAAGTGCTGAAACCTGAGGTTCATATATCTAGTTATATTAATGCATAACTTAATTATATTAATTTGCATAAATCTTAATCAGGACATAAAAATCATTAGGAAACACCTCAGACTGTGTTTTCAGCCAGTGGATCAGCAGGAGAATAAAATAATGAATATACTATAAAATGTAAAATTATGTAGCTCGTAACTTTAATACTGAAATATGTAAAAGCTTAAGTTAAAGGGTTGTAGGCTGAGCTACAACCCTCACACAACATGTATAAAAATGAACTCTTCAGGATGTCTGGGGTGTGCAAAAAGAGCAGAGATGCTGTGCAAGGAGCAACCTCAGGGCTGTTGGTGGCACTCAGAGTGCCCCAAGCTCCTGGGGACAAGGAAACCTTTGAGGACTCTGTGGGGACCTTGTATGGACGTTCCCTCGTGTTCCTCACTTCCACACAGCAGGACAATTCAGCAACCAAGAGATATTTTGAGTCACAGCAACTGTGAAACCTCTTTTCTGTGGGGACTAATATAACTTGAAGACTGATCATCAGACACAAACTAAGCTCTGGGACACCAGATCATATATTTTGACAGACTGTATATATATGTGTGTGGAGGGAGTCAGCAGCCAGGAGAGCCAGAAAGCTCTTGTCAGTCCATGCAGCAACCAGGAAGTCTTAGAAAAGGACAAAACTTTGTAGGTACCCATTGCTGACCTCCATTTTTATAAGTAATTAGTACTTTGTAGGGAGTTGCTTTCACCTAAGATCTAAAATTCTTAAAGAATACATTAAAACTAGAGCTTAAGGGGCACTATGCCATCTAAATAAATCCAACTTATAAATATCTTCCAGCAATGGAAAAACTTGGGAATGAAAGGCGAACACTGATTTTCTCCTTCCCAGCCCAGCCACCATGTTTTCAGAGCTCTGTTTCAGATTATGTTTAGAACTGGAAAGTCTCCATGAGAAAGAGCAGATGGCTAAGGCACTGATCCTGCCAGATGCTGATTTAGTCTGGACCTAATCCAGAAGAGCACTTTAGCTTTGTGCTTAACTTTGGGCATGGGAGTAACTCAAGAATTATCCTCTGCTTAAAGATGTACCAGGATATGAACTGCAGCATCCAGCACCTTGCAGGATTAGACCATCTGGACCATCCACCTCAAAACCTGTACCTGCAAACCCACTCCTGAAGCCACAGACCTCTGTAAGTCCAACAGGTGAACCAACTGTCCAAGTCAGAGCACAGCAGAGCCAGGAGGCTGTGAAGCCACAGCGGAACAGCTCCAGCAGCTTCCCAAGGATCAGCATGGACAAGTCTAAACATCACTCAGCACCACCACAGGTACCCAGGAGGCACTGAACAGGTAACTCCTGGCTGGGATCTCTGCAGTTCACACAGGAAGAGTGATCCCAGTGCTGGTGGAAGGGGGAACAGGTAGGGAAGGGTAGAAGGAAGACCTTCCCACCTTCATGGAGTCAGTAACATGGTTGGCAGCCCAGATGGGTAAAGAAACGTGGACAACTCCAGCTGAAACAGGCAGGGCCTGCAGGCACCTGCACACCCCAAAATGAGGCCAGTTCCCTCTGGCACTGCAGGCCTCACATCACACCACTGCTCATCTCCTGCTGCTGAGAGGAGGCAAAGCTGGGCAGGACAAAGTACTCCTCAAGTGTCTTAATGAAGTCAGGGTCACTTCACACGACCCCTCGCACTGAACTGCTCTTACACTTCTCAAGTCTGAGGAAACACAGAGTCTTTTGACTCAAAACTCTTTGGAGAGTTTTAAACAGGGTGTGTGACATCATTCCCAGAATTCTAGTGTTTATAAGCAGTGAAATGATCCCAGAGCTGGGGAATTCAAAGCATTCTAACAACCTACAGCAGCCTGGGAACCACGGGACAGAGCTCCAGGATAGAGCTCCAGGACAGAGCTCCCTGTGAGCATGGAGCCCTTGGAGCAGCCCCTAAATCCCATGACATCATGGCTCAGACTCCATCCCACACATACCTTTGGTTTATCCCCCTGCATGGGCATGTTCTCAATGCTTCTGATCTTGTTGCCTATGACCATGTTCTCCTGAACCACCACTCTTGGCCCCTCGGGTTTGCACCTGGAGGGAGAGAAGCAGAGATCGTGTTCAAGAACCAGACATACCACAGATAACCAGGGAGGTGTGTTGAAAAGAATGTCAGTCTCAGACAGCAGTCTTTGGTCCTAAAGACTCCTAAAAGCTGTGGCTGCTGGAGTCTGTTTCTCTTTGTGAAACTACTGTATCCCTTCATTACAGCATTCCAAAACTATTTACAAAGCACCTTGACAGAGGTAGATAAAGATCAGTATATGACCAAAAAGGAACCCCTCCAAACTTTCCAAAGGTTAAAAATGGAAAATACTGGATAACTAATTAAATCATGTGAGTTTAATCTGGCCAATATGAGTTATATTTCCAAATTCAAAATGCCAGTCACTCAGAACTGTGGGGAGGTGATTGTTGCTGAGTCTGTCTGCTCAGCTTTCCAACAGGAAGTGTGGGCTGAAGGAGTAGAGTGGATAAATACTGGGATAATGACAGCAGAAGGCTCCTTTAATGTTGCCCGTTCCCCAGCAGACAGCTGCCAGTTATCAATCTTCATTTTGGAATACGGGCAAAGAGCAATGTATGGAACATCATGTGGAAAGGCACATCTGCACCATCCGAGGCAAAAGGCTTTTCTGTCTTCCTTAACTTGGAATAACTGAGCAGGGACACAGGTTTTCTCATGTTTAGAAGTTCAAAGGCTCTGAGCCCACTGTAGGGTTATGGGAGGTAAAATGAATCTGGACATCTATAAGTGCTGATGCTGCAGGAAACGAATCCATAAGTCAGACCTGCCTTGGTCAAATCCACACAAGACACTTGGGCAACTCCCTGGGTCAAGGGAGGGTTTATAGCTCTCAAAAGAGCCTAATTAGATGTCTTGAGTGACTTCCTGCAAGGCACAATCCTGTCGTGAGGATGAAGGGAAAAAACCCAGAGGAAGTAAATCACATCACAGCTCTAAGGAACAATAATGGTGTTTTGGGATTCAAAGTGCACTGGTGAGGCAGAGGAGGGGGAAGAGAAAGAGAGAGAGAGGGGAAGTGAGACAACAGAAGGAAATGGGGTCTGTGTCATTTCCCACAGGAATCCTCCTTCAGCTTCTGCTGGCGAAAGATAAGGCTGCCCCAGGGGCCGGGAGAGGTAGAGCCACTCTGCAATTGTATTTAAATTGATAAGATCAGAGAGGCAGAGCTGGAACAAGGGTTATATGAGGTCCTTTGCCACCAGGTCACTGGTTTGAGTCTGGCTTAGTTCGGCACTCATGACCAATTCTCTCTCCCTACACAGAAAGGCCTGGAAAAGATCTCTGGTCATCTCTGTGGCCTTCCTAAGGAATGCAGATCCTGTTTCCATGTGGTGTTTCCATTCTGCTCTGGTTGAACCCCCTGAAGCAGCAGCCCCTGTTGCTGCCCTGCAGTGCCAACAGCCTGACCTAAGCCAGCAGATCTCGGCATGGGAGCAGTGTAACTCCCAGACTGAGGTACCGGGATACTGCCCTGGAGAGGGACACAGGGTCACTCTTTAGACCCAGCCTGAGACTGGATCACTCAACATCACTGTGACTGCTGCAGCAGAAAACCTGGGGAAGCAATTTCTCTGTGATTTTTCCCTGTCTCGTGGCTTTCTCATAGCACTTGGAACAGCAATGGATCGGTGAGAACATAAGGAACTATCCAGCACTTTTTTCTCTTGCTTTCTAGACCTGCCTTATTTCTTTTATGGAAAGAAATAAGGAAAACCTGCTTTCAGCCCTCTCATTGCAGGGAAGAGTTGAAGTGGTCACTTTAAACTTACTTCACACAATTCAGATAATATACAAGGTGCTTGTAAGTCAAGAAGAACACACACAACCAGACATGAGCTGGGCTCCTAAGCCTGGAGATCTTCAGGTGGGATTTTAACCAACCGAAATAGGATGTGGTGGAAAGAAAAGGTGACTTGGAACAACCAAACTCTTCTGGAACGTGTTCATCCTTTGGAACGCCACTTACATTGTGTCTGTGAGGCTACAGGGCTGCCACTTCCACTCGATCTTGGGCTCAGGATTCCCACTTGCAGTGCACTGGATCTTGTGTTTGCTTCCTAATTCCACCCGCACGATCTTATCAAAATCAGTTTCCTTTTCAAAGATTTTGGGTCTCTCTAGAGGAAAAAAAACACAACACACCACAAAAAAACCAAATGAGTAAATTTACATCCATGGTCACGATCCTGGTCCTGTTTCCATAAAAGGTTTTGAAACTTTTTGCTGGGAGAAGTGGTGATCTAGTGAGGCTCCTGATGTCCTGGGGGAATTCCCAGCAGCACTGGGAGCATTCATCTGCAGAAACATGGGTGTTGGTCGTGCTATTTCAGAACTGCAGTGCTGCCACATTCATCCTAATCACCCTCAAATGTTGTTGTGGATCCGCTGTATTCTGGAAAATTTGCGCCATGAAACACCCACAGGGACTGCAGGATCAGGCTGTGAGTCCATGTACTATGGGCAAAAGAGCATTGGAGTGGTGAGGTCACCTCCTGAGAGGAACCTTATCAAGCAGCTGCTGCTCTGCAGTGCTGTTACCATTGTGCAGGTCCTCAGGGGTTGGGAAAATAAGTCTTTTTGATCTGAAATCTTTGCCTGCCTTTTCTGTTTATTTATAACGTGCTCTGGATGAAGGGGAGAAGAAAGCAAGGAAGAAGTGGTGTGGAGAAAACACTGGCAGAGTAATGCCAAGAAATTCTCACCAACAGCAAACCCATTAAAAATGTCATGGCATTATTCACATCTGGAGGGGTTGCAAGATCACATCCTTGGACTGGAAATCTCTCAAGAACAGAGTTTTGTGTGACACTTTCAGGGCTGCTTGTTGCCAGCAGGAAAGAAAGGCTTTGTCCCATCTCCTTCCAGCTCCCACGGGAACACACGAAAAGGAGAAATAACGCTGAAAAATCCCCAAAGTGAACTGAACTCTTCCTAACCTTGGAGAGGGTGGGTTGGAGTTTGGGGTGAAAGCACAGGCTTTTCCCTTATGCAGACAGCTCTGCCCATCCCTCACCATATCTCTTTGTCTGCTTCTCATAACAGGAAATCAAACAGATTTATTGGTCGGGGTCCTCCTTGGGACATCCCTGTGCAGCCAAGTGTGGCTGCTCTGCACTGAGGCCTTTTGACAACTTGGGAAGTGAATGTAGATTAGATTTCTATTTTTTGGGTTAACTTATTTTTTCTGCTGTCAAGGAGACCCAAGATATGTAAATATGAGCTACTGCCCACCTCATCAATCTTGAGCCCTTCCCCTCTTTTTTTAATAGCTTTTTTTCCTTTCTACCCCTTTACTCTTTCAAGAGGACTGACCAGGTTGATCCCATGTCTTGGGGGGATCCTCACTTTCCATTTCTCATGGTCAGACTCTGAAAGATCTTCTGACCTCATCACTGCCTGAAAACACATCACCATTTCCTTCTCCACCACATGGAAGGAGTATTGACTGGAGTTGGGTCAGTCATATCTCATGCCGTAATAAAACATTATCTGTTTAAAGAACCTTCATTAGGTCCTGATTAACCTTTCCCCTCAGAAACCCAAGTGACAGCCCTTGTTTGGTGTGGCTCTTGTGTTCCCTTTTGCTTTTTTGATCCCCTTTGGTTGGGTCTCGTTTCCCCCACACATGATGTGTTATGAGGTTCCAAACCTCCCCTCCTCACTCCTTTGTCCCTTCATGGAGAAGGATTGTCTCTCTGGGAAGGAGAAGATGGAGATGGGAGCAGACAGGGGAGAACTTGAGCCCGGGGTGAGGGTCTCTCAAAACTCTCCTCCCCCTCTGTAACACCCATGGAGCGTTTCCTGCACCGCATTGCTCTGGGTCACACAGCCTTCTGCTGACCAAGGGCTTGGAGATTCTTGAGCAATTCTCAGGACAACGCTGAAATTCCTTGTAACTGGCATCTCATTTCCCATCATAAAATTATTTCCAATAATAAAAATAATTCTGTAAAGCTCCCCAGAGAGAGAAGCACATTTTTCATTATCTCAAACATTTTTTCTTTTCAGTCTCAAATCCTGCGTTTGGCATTTCTGGACTGCACTCAAAAGCATGATTTCCACTTGGAGAAAGAGACTCTGAGTTCAGTGTGAAAGGTTACTCAAGTGTTACGTGAAAGGTTACTCGAGTGTTATGTTTTTGGGCTGTAAGAACGAAGGTTTACACACTTAGGGAGGGAGACTGTGTTTGTGTGGGTTTGTGTGTGTGGAAGAGCATGGGGGCACAAGGGTTGATCACAGTCTTTTAATATTAGGAGATTTTTTCTACATCCTTGGTCGACTGTTATTTAAATTGTCCTTCTGAAAAAGAAATATTAATTTTAACTTGATCCAATTCTAACAAGAACATACAGGAGTGACAAATGAAGTCTTCACTCCACAATTACTTTACTGCATGGCTCTATTAAATATGACTTGAGACCTAAAATGAGTCAAAATGATTCATCAATTGAAATAATCATTATTTATGAGGTTTAAGCAGTTATTTTCTTAAAATTTGAGGGGTTGGCTAAAAATGCCTCCCCATCTGTTCTTTGTAAGACAGTTAGTGTGGGGGCCATAGATAATCATGGGCACGACACCCAGAGACTGAGGCAGTTTCCACGTGTCTCCCTTTCCCCTGCAGGCTGTGATGGAGGTGGGTGTCACTCTGCAAGGGACTCTGAACTGCAGCTGAACACAGTGAGGATGAGGCTCTTCCACAATCCTGAACGTGCCTCCTCTGTGCCTGGGGGGTGTTGGCCCTGCTGGTTTGCGGTGGGGAATGTGGGGGGCTCGGCTGGGGGATATTTCTTGGGATGAAAACTTCCCAAACTTTGCTCACTGCCATGGGCATTTTAACTCTTACTGTGCCCCCCTTGAAGCTTTTCCATTCCCTTTGCTCAATGCTGGCCCAAATCCTATCTACAGGAGTTGCCTCCCTCAGTGATGGAACACATTAAGTGGCCTCTGTGGTGGGACTGCCCTTTTAGACTGGCTCAGACTGGGTGGTTGCTCAGTGGGTTGGCACCTGCAGCACTTTCCCCTGTGAAAACCTCTCCATATCAGCCTGCTGAGGAGTTTTGAGCCTAAAGCCTGGGATTATTAGGGTGCACCTAGCAGTGTGTTTCTCAGGTAAATCTCTCCCTCCTCCAGACAGTGCTTTGCTTTCTCTTTCCTGTTTGCTCACTAAGCAGCACAGTGGATTTTGCACAAACTCTTATCCCTGCTCGTGTCCAGGTGCAGGGAAGGCTTGGGGTACAAGTCCATTTGTGAGCAATGCCAAATCCAAGGACATTTCTTGTTGCATCTAAAGTCCCGATTTCATTAACACACCTATATCTGTGGTTTTAAGCATGCAAAAGAGAAGGAGCTGTTGGGAAGGGGGAGCTGTAGGACTGGAGGGTCTCCAGAGGTCCCTCCAACCCGGCCATTCCGTGGTTCTGTGATTAAGTGATTTAGTTCTGTGCTTGGTGATTTCACAGGCATTGCACTACTGGCAGAACAGGAGGTGAGTAATCAAGGAGGTACCTCTGCACAGCCCCTGCTCCCACTGCTCCTTCCCTCCTCCAGGAACTGCAGAGCAGGGTCCTCCTGCATCCTCGGAGCTCGGGGACTGTGCTGAGCCAGACCTGCCCCCTCTGCCACCCTCCCCTTGGGTCACCTGCCACCTCCCTGTGGATCCTTGTCCCAACCAGTGGCCCCTGCTCCAGTGGTGCTGAAGTGCCAGAGCAGATCTTTCCTCACACTTCCTTCCTTACCCAGGTATCGTTTGCTAGCCTGCTCCTGGCTTTCCACTCCCCCTGCGCCGGGATCTGCTGCTCCCTCCCAGCCTCCCATCCCATCCCTTGGCCATCACCCTCCCAGGCTGACCTTTCTCAAGCAGAAGGCAAACAAACCTTAAAAGCTTTCTGCTCCCTCGCTGCCTGCGGAAGGCACGATGTGCAGATGGCTTTAAATGTATCCAAATAAATGGGTTTTCTCCCTCCCTGGTTCCAAGTGTGACTGTATCCCCAGCTCACTTTGCAGAGGTGCAATTGCTGGTGTGAGAGCTGACCTGAATAACTAAAGACTTTGCAGCTGCTGCACTGGGAAATGCAATCAAAAAACAGTTCTGTTTATTGTACCTTTCAAATTGATCAGCATTATGCAAATCTCACTTTCTGGTGTTATCTCTAGTTTGTGGCATTAGGAGCAAATAATATGGGCAAAGATTAGGACATTTAACCCTCTGGCATTACCCCTTCTACAAGAGACTCTTCTGTCTAAATTCAGAGCAAATGCTCTGAGGGGGTTGTACACCTGCCACCCAAAGGAGCATCCAAATATAAAGGACAACACAGAGAAAGTTTCTCTGCTTTTTTTAGGGAAACTTTGCTTTACTCTCAGTGACCTTTTACAGAACTGCCATTTATGTACCTTCCCCATTACCATTTAAACCAAGCTTCAAAAAATCTTTTCTCATTAAGGACATCATTAAAATAACATAGATTGGCCAGTGGAACATTAGTCTCAGCC